CTAGAATGATTCTAGATGAAATCAAGTGAACATTTTACAGAATATCACTAAAAAAATAATTTAATAGAATTTCCCAATAAATTCTATCAAATGCCACGTAAATATAGATATAGAGTATAAATTTTTTTCTAATTTATTAATATGGTATTTTGAGAATATTTCTCGAATCTACAACCTAAGAGTTTGAAAATACATAATATATGGAATATTGTCAAAGTTTTTCGTATTCTTTCTAAAACCTCGTAATGGCCGTGACGACCCTTGGAAAGTAAATACAATTTACCAAAAGGCAGGGGTAACGTAATACAATCGGGCTTCGTACAAACAGAAATATCCTTAAATCCTCCGTCTCACTGAAACCTCACATCGCGAATATATATTTCTCCTCATGTGTAGAGAACTATATTATATTTCAGATGTAAAAAAAAATTCCGTAAAACGAAAAAAAACAAAATATTCTATTATTTTTGTTAATCAAAAAATTTTTAATTAAAAAATCTTTAAGGAAGATTAATATATGAAAATGAATGAAATTTAGTAACAAGCGCTATATTAATTCAGTAATAATTACTGAGTAAATTTAGTAACAATTTCTATGTAGAATTTGGTAACAATTACTAAGTAAATTTAGTAACAATTACTATAGTAAATAATATAATAATTAATATGTTAATTTAATAACAACTACTCTATTAATTTAGTAACAATTTCTATATGTAAACTTAGTAATAATTACTACGCATTCATATATTAGTAATATTTACAATATTTATTTGGTAACAATTACTATATTTATTTAGTAGCAATTACTGTATTAATCTTTTATTAAAGTTTTTTAATTTTTATTACATTTGGATTTATCTGCAACCAATTAATTTGGATTTATTTTTAAAGTAATTTTTACTAAATTACATTTCCTTGGATAAAAATTAATATAAATATCTAAAAAAAATTTTTAATTCTTTTTTCATCTTTTTAAAATTTAGATCCAAAGGAACCTTTTTCTTTGCTTTGAACAAGTAAATTTTTCATTGTCTCAGCCAGATAAATAATTTATTGACCTTATACTTTTTTAATGAGAAATATTATTTATTGCTATTGTTTGTAATTTTATGAAAGATAAATGATTTTTTTCTTCTTCCATTTATGTAAATTGGTATGCAGAGATTCCTTTGGTGCCAATCAGAGAAAATTAAATGGTCAGTGATTAATCATAGAGAGGATATTTTTGCGCGGGGGCGATATGTCTCGTTAATAATAGTCTTTTTGAAGCGCATGGAAGAGAAGGAAAGTTTATTTATCGTTTGACGAGTAAAATAAATACAAGGCGGGTGTACGCGTATTATAATATCAAATGATAACGCAAATGAATGAACGCCTTATCGTTGCGAATCAATTTTTGAATATATTGATACGCACTTGCATCTGTCACCTCAATAATTTACATGCAAAAAAGTTTTATTTTCTAAAATTTTCTAAATAAATTTCAAAATTCCTTCGCATTGGATTTTTTAAATCTTTCTTATTTACAGTTATTTACTAACTTCTTACTACCATTTTTAAATAAAATTAGCAATTTTAAAAATAACAGTGTTTAAAAATTTTCTAATTTAAATTCTTGTTGAAAACACTAAAAAAATTCAATTTTGGAGAAATTACAAATAATTACAGAAATTCAATTATTTTCAAAAAAAAAAAAAATAATAAAATTCTTTTCATCAAATTCAACTATGTTCAAAATTTGAAAAAAATATTTCTTGAAACAAATTTAGAAATAAGTAAATATTTCTGTACGGTCAATTAGAGGAATTAAGAAACAATTTATTAAAATTTAACACCTTTGATGATCCAACAAGCATCAATGAACACAAATGACTTCGTTTAGCTTCATTTATGAAACGATAATTCATCAACACATCCTGTCCAATAAGTTGACGACAAAAAGATCCTCTTCTTCATCAGTGAATCTCAATTTTTCTCATCTAAATATTACAATTCTCTCCCTTTTTCTTAATTTTTCCCATATTATTAGAAAAAATTCTCAAATTAAAAATTATCCCCAATATTTTATTGCATATTTCCCCCTTTTTGGGGAAGGGGGGAGGGAAGATTTAAACATTTTTTTTTTATTTATTTACTTTTTTTTTAATTTAATTTTTGAGATCCCCTGGCTTTGTGGTTTGAATGAGACCATTGTACGCGTAGCCCTTCAAAATGCATTCATCCATTTGGATTCAACAGAGCTTCTATTCATGGAATGCCAACCTCTGGTCACATTAGAAAGAGAAAAGAAAACTATTTAAGAAAAAAACAATAGATCCTTAAGTAGAAAAACGATAAATATCATTTCTTATATATGTATTTTTACAGTTTCGAATTTGTTGAATTGCGAAGTTTCTAATTTTTTCAATATTCTTTTCGATAGTCGGATATTCGGAAATTTTTTAAAGTTGAAGAAATATTTTTTAAAGAAGAAAATATTTTTACTGGAAATAATTTTCCAAAAAAATTCTCTGTGGTCAAAATTCAAAACGGAGAAAATTATGAAATAAGATTAAATATGTAAATATTATTTGTTAGAATAAAAAAATAAGAAAATTAAATTAAATTTTTTATGCAAAAAAATGGTTTTTTATCCAAATTGATTTGTTTATTCAAACAAATATTTTGTAGATTAAATTCAAAATAGGGATTAAGGCAAAAAATTTAATAAACTTTTGTCTTTTCAAGAAAAAATCAGGAAAACCTTTTCGATTTGTTCTTATGAAAAAAATCCTCTGTGGTTAACATTCAAAAATAATAATTAATTAAAAAATAAAATTCCCTCCATCATGAAAAAAACATTAAAAGAAAATTTTTATCCAAATCAAAATAAAATCCTTTGTGCTCAAAAAATTAAAAATTGAGAAAATCCAAAAAGAGTATGATTGATGGAAAAAATTTTATAAACATTTGTCTAATCAAGAAAAAGGTAGGAAAAAACTTTCGACTTTTTCCTCTGAAAAAAATTTCCCCGTGGTCTAAAAGAAAAAATAGGAATATATTAAAAAATTTAATAAACTTTTGTCTGATCAAGAAAAAATGTTGTTTTGAAAAAAAAATAAAAATATTTTATTGGTGAATCAAAATGTTTCTTTCTTCTGGTGCAATAGTTGCAGGTGTTTCAAGGAAGAGGAAGAAATATAATTTATTCAGATAGAGGACTATCATCAGGTCTATCGCATTTCTCACTTTATCGTTTCTTTGTGGTTCAAATAACAACTCATAAAAGAGAATAAATCATAAAAGCCAGAAATTTGAATGAAAAGAAAAAAGCTCGAAAATTTTTTGAAGAAAAATAATGAAAGGAATTTATGATTCAAAGTCAAAATTTACTAAAATTCTTTTTAAAAAAATTTAGAATTTTAAATGAAATTTTTTATATTCAAATTTTAAATTTTCTAAAAAAAAATTCCAAAATATTTTCCAAATTAATTATAATTAATTATAATTCTTATTTTTTACCCACCTTTTTAAATATCCCTTTAAACAAATTTTTTAAATTTCTTTTTGAATTTTTCTTTTATTCTTTCTAGATTTTCTATAGTTTACAATATGATAACAAATGTATATTTGAATATATACGAACCGAAAATGTGGTTCAAATATTCCATTTACGATTTTTTCTTTAAAATTTATTTATTTACTGGTCATTTTTTTTTAATCTCTGTGCAAAAAAACATCTTTATATATATAAATTCAAATATTCTTAAATTATATTCTTAGGCGCTAATTTTTTTTTATCTAGAGAGTACAAGGCATCCTGCGTAGAAGATATGAATATGATTCCGGTGAATTGGTAATAATATCTTTATATGTACATTCTTGTTAAGTTCGAGTAAAAAGTATATAAAAATTTGCCTCTTAAGCTATTGGACCTAGATCCAAATTTTATATATGGCACTTGTAAGAAAGTCAGAGTCACGGAATAAAGACGAATTTTTTCCTTTTTCTGTTTTTGTATAAACTGGTCCCAAACTCTATTTTTTGAGTGTATATAAACATTCATTCGGAATGTTTTCATGATTTTTTTTCTCAAGTCTTGAATGTGATACGATTTGATTTTTAAATTAAAAAAACAAAAAATTCGTTTCACTGTTTTCGATTTACAGTTTTTGTAAATCCATCACTGGGGATTTTATAAGTACGTTAAATTGCCAGAAGAATTTATTAGATCAGAGGCCTTTAGAATCATCATTGAATAATAAAAAGGATAGAATTTAGCAATTTTTTTTTGGTTTTGGTTTTGGAAATTGCAAAATTCTATCTTTTTTTGGGAGAAAATAGAAATGTAAATGTGAAGAGTTCAGGGAATATTTGCGAAATTAAAGAAAAAATTGTGAAAAAGAATTACTTTCTTGGAAAATTTTAATTCTTTCTCGTCTTTTTTTAATTTTCAATTATTATTTTTTTCTAATTTTTAATTATTTTCGTATAATTTTTAACTATTTCTTTCACATTTGCAATTAATTTTGTCTAATTTTTAATTATTCTTTTTTAATTTTCAATTATTTCTTTATAATTTTTAATTATTTCTTTCCAATTCTCTAACTTTAATTAATTTTTTATTATTAATTTGAATTTAAATGGAAAATTTGAGATATTTAATTGTTGCTTTAAAAATTAGATGATAAAAAACTAGAAAGCTTAGTATTAACTCATAACTGAATTTTCGAAAACTATTGTTAAAATTTTTTTTTATAACAAATTTTTTAAGTTTCAAAAAATATATAATATGAAAATACCCCTTCACGTTTACATTTTTCCATCAAAATATCTCATTAAATTCTATACATATATTACAAATCTCCGACTATTTTTAAGGAAATCCATTCATTTTTAATTAATACATATAATTTTTCCATGAATTTGAAAATTTAAGAATTAAAAACATTTATTCATTTCTAATAGAATTTTCTATTTTTGCGATTTATTTTTAATTTCATTTCATTTTTATTTTCAGATGTAAAAAATGTCTAAATTCTTTTTCTAAATTTTATTTAGCAATTATTTATCAATATAAAAAATATATAAAATATATTAATCAAAAATACTTGGAAAGGAGTATTCAAAAAGTGATTTACCTGGAACTGGAATAATTACAAGCATTTTCTTGTTTTTCTTTTCTACTTTTTTCTTGAGAAATATAAAATTTTTTACCTATTTTGGTTTATTATTAATTTTAAATTTTATCTTTTTTATTTTTTACCTTTTTGAAGGACCTCGCAGAATTTATATTAATTTTGTCTTACAGTCGATTTTTCTATAATTTTTGGAATTTTTAACTTCTTGTTTAGAATGTTAGGAGTCACGTAAAGTCACAGAAAAATCGCCTGGGAGCCAAAACTAATATAACTCCTGCGAGATTCTTAAAAAAAAAATTTTCATAAAAGTTTTCTTGTATTTAATTAATTATTTAATAAAATTGTACATTATGCAACTAAGGCGTATTATGTATGCAAAGTTGCCCCATACAACTCAGCTAGTCAAAAAAGTCGTAATTATTGTCCAAGGGTAATAATGAGAACTTTATTGCCCTAGGGCAATAATGGGTACCTTATTGCCCTAAGATAATAATTTGTACTTTATTGACCTGCGAGCGGTCAATTAAGTACAATTAATTGCCCTAGGGTAATAATAAGCACTTTATTAACCGCTGTGTTATAAAAGGGAAGTTATTATGCGCCTGTACAGGTAGATAAAGTGACCATAATACGGCTAAGTTGCATAAATTTTTTGTTTCCCTTCCTTCGAAAGCAGTTCCAGGTAATTCATGCGATTGATTGAAAAAAACTGAATTTGCAACAATAAATCTAAAAGACTTTTGATTCTAAGTTGAACATTGTCGATAATCTTGTGATTTCAATTCGATTCCTTCAAGTTGACGTGTCATCTCATCAGTGAGTGCATCAACATCAGCCATAAGACCACTTAAAATTCTCTCATTATCCTTGTAGACACTCTCCATTCCATCGAGATCTTTGAATTTCGCCGATGTATCGGCAGTGAGTTCGGAAGCTTGCTGCAAAAGTCTCTTTGCCCTTTGAATATTTTCCTTACTCTTATCAACTCTATCGTTCAGCAAATCACTCGCCTCCTTATACTCCTTACCCAGTAGATTGGTTTTGTATTCCACTTTTTTCGCCTCCTCAGCGACTAGCGTTCCCTCGTGTGATATTTCCTGTTTCACGATAAATTCATTCTTACCAACGTGGGTCTGTAATTTTTTCAATCTCTCCTCTAGACTATCGACTGATCTTGAAGTGTTGTCAGCCTTTTGTTTCGCGTCCCTTGTCACGTCGATAATTTCCGTTAAATCCTTCTCCGACAGTGTTATGTCTTCGTTGGCTTTTGTAATTGCCGATTCGGCGAGATCTTGCGCTTCCTTTGCTTCATTGAGTAGATCGCCAACATTACTGGCGAGATTTTGTTTCTCAAGTGCGGCGTTCTTTGCCTGATTGGCATGACTTTCGAGTGTCTTGGCACGATCTAAATCGTAACGTGTGTCTTCGAGAATTTTGTCCGGATTTGTTAGGGAACTGACGATGTTTTTGATTTTGTCGGCGAGTTCAGTGATTTCCTCGGGTTTCAGGGGGATATTCTTATCGAGCACTTGGTTAGCGAGTGTTCGTACTTGAGCTGGTGTTGGATGGTCATTGTTCTCGGTTTGATCGAGTAGACTGGCAATTTTTTCTGATAGATCGGTTATGTTCTTCATTAGACTATCGGAACGTTGAAGAGCGTCTGAGGCGAAATTAAAGGCGTCTTGGGCATTTCCTCTTGCAGAGGTTGCGTCATTCTTGACTTCGATCATCTGAAAAATTAGGACTAGTAGAATTTCTAATGATTTTAAATACTGGTGGATCAATTTTTTGCCCTTAGGAACTTTAGAGAAATCTGTTTACAGATATAGGGCGCGAGAGGTCTGCAAACGCATTAGGTCGATAAAAATAGGTAGTGTACATAACGTCCCCCGTTTTGTCTTTCTTGATAGTGGCGCAAGCGCAGTTGCTTCTGATGAGGGGACGTTAGGTACACTCTGTCTCTTTCTATCGACTTGACGCTTCCACTTAATCGTACGGACTCAGGTCCTCTATTTTTACCGCAGAGTATCCGCAGGGAACGAAGAAAGTCGTAAGACTTTCTTCGTCCCCTGCGGATACTCTACGTTAAGAGTTAAAAGCGGAATTAACAATATAACAAATTAAAAGGAGAAGAATACTTACACTTCGAAGTAATTGTTCAGCTTCATCTCTGTGATTCTTGATCCTAGCGGACTGCTTCTTAGCAACGTCGAGTGCTTGATTAGCTTTGGTGACAGCCCCAGCATCACAAGAGAGACCACCACAAGATCCACAACCAGCACCTCCGCAAACACTACTGCATTCGGTTACATTTTGTCCACACATATTCAGATTCAAATCGGGCATCATTCGATTAAAGGACTTGATTTTTTCGTCCAATTTTTGGAGAGCTTCCTTATTCCTCTCGTGTGCTTCAGCAACGGCGTCGCTATTTTTGGCAATCAATGATTCTGTGTGTTTCTTGTACCGCTCGGCATCGTCAAGAATACTGGTTGTGTCGTTCGCCATTTTTTCAGCTTGTCTAGATTGCTCGGACATCATTCGAGTGACATTCAAAGCACCCTGAACGTTCGCCTCCTGTAATGATGTTGCATTCTCCTTCAGATTCACGGCTTTCTCGTGAAGATTGTGCGTTCGATTCTTCAAGTTCTTCAGAGCAACGTCGTTTAGATTGACACGTTGCTTGACATTGTTGAGGAGATCATCAGCCTTTTCTAGAGTCATTGACGAATCGGCGATATTTTTACTCAAATCATCTGCAAGTTTGTTCAGTTCATCTAGATCTTGACTTCTGACCGATGCATTTCCAATGAGGGTTTTCACTTGCTCGATGGAAGACATCATATCGTCAAATTCCTGACTATAGACTCCAGTGGTTCCGACTTTTTGGATTCTTGACGCTTCGTCAATGACGTAATTTGTCTTGTTCTTCAAGCCCTCGAGAATCATGTCCCAATTGTCGAAGCACTCGCCACAAGGACTGCAGTTTGGTGCAAAACCAATGTAACTACGATCGCATTGATCACATTTGTGACCTCCGATTCCTTTATGACAGACACAGGCACCAGTTTCGCGGTTACATTGCTGGCTGGCTGATCCTATCTGATCGCACTCGCAGGGATAACATTCCACATTCGGATTACCCCAGTGATTCGCTTGACACTCGTTACATCTCCTGCCACCAAACCCAGGACGACACTCGCAGGTTCCATCGAAGGGATTGCACCTGATTGAAATAGAGAACGGGAAAATTTACCAGTTTGCTAAAGATTAGAAATGAATAGAAAAAGATTCGATCATTACCTATCGGATACACTTCCAATGGCGTCACACTCGCAAGGATCACAACCTTGACCACTGGCTATTCGCCAATGATTCTCTTCGCAAGAGTCACACAGTTGACCGACCACGTGAGGCAGACAGGGACACTGACCAGTTCGATGATCGCAAGAACCAGCTGATCGATCAGTACCAAGAACATCACATTTACACTGCTGACAATCCTTCAATAGAGCATTACCAAAATAATCTGGCTGGCAAATTTGACAATTTGGCCCGGAAGTGTGATATAGACACTGTAGACAACGTCCAGTGTGAGGGTCACAATTTCCTGGACGGTACAAATCGGTGTTGTTACTACAATCACAGGATGAACAACTTCCACCCGCTATTTCCGGATTTCCGAAGTAATTCTCAGCACAACTGTCACACCTTGGTCCCGAGTAGCCTTCACGACATTCGCAAATGACGTCATGAGTCACTGGATCCAGAGAGCAACTGTCTGCATACGAGTGACCGGAGTCTTGTGTTCCTGTAATTGTAAATCATTACAAAAATATTCCATCAACTGAAAGTTATGTTCAACATTAGGATCCGAAAGATCAGAAGATCGAGTGTTAGCCGTTAAGAAAATAATCACTTTGGACTAACCTGGACAAGGACAAGCCCGACAAGGGATATCGACTCCAATTCTTGGATCTCCATAGAATGTAGCAACGCACCGATCGCAATTGTGACCAGCTGTCGAGTCTCTGCAATTCAGACAAGCTCCCGTCTGTGAATCACAACTATCGGCGTGTCCATTACATTCACATCTCTGGCAATGGGGGAAATTCCAAAATCCAGGTTCACATTGTCCACAAGTTCGTGAATAAGTATTCGGACGACACTTGCAACGTCCAGTTTCAACATCGCAGAAATTGTCCAAAGCTCCTACACCATCGCAATCGCATGTAATGCATCCTTGTGGTCCAAATCCATAGGTTCCTGGTGCACAACGATCGCAACGTCGTCCTACTACGTTTTGCTTGCAGTGACAATTGCCACCGTAACTGTCACAAAATGCACTGTGTGATCCAGTTGGATTACATTCGCACACTGGAAAAAATTACACAATCAGTACTGATTCTTCCTCTTTCGAATATCTTTTCAATAATTTACTTAATGACAAATAATCGAAATTAAAAATAAGAAGCCACACTGAGAGAATCATGGGACGTCTGTCCAAATTTGGATCCCAATCATGATTGAGGACTCAAATCGAGGAATTCGCCTGACACTTGGTCGAGTTCTTCGAGACTAGGTCTTAATTGGAATCTATAATTGGATACAGGGTTTTGGTTTGTATTTGGACTATCATGAAAACCTTTATCCAAATCTATATTCTAATTGAGGACCCGGATCGAAGAAATCGACTTCGCGTCGGACGAATTCTTTGGATCGGGTCCTCAATTGGAATCTAGATTTGGATACAGAATTTTAGTCTGATTTATATCTAGACTAACATAAAAACCTTTTTCCAAATCTAGATTCTAATAGAGGACTCAGATTGATGACTTCGCCCGTCGCGGGTTCGAATTTTTCGATCCGGATCCTCAATTGGAATCTAGATTTGGATAACAGTTTTCAGTGTTGTTTATATAGCCAGAGCACATGAAAATCTTTATCCAAACATAGGTCTTAATCCCAACTAGAATCCGGATTTGTTTCCGGAAAGTTTTTCAGTCTGATTTAATAGTCTTTTAGAATCAGAATTTAGATTAGAATTTAGATCCAGATAAATATTAGGAACTAGATTATGCTTAGGGTTGGGATCTATTAGGACTTAAATTCGGAGACAGAATTAAGAATTCTGCATTGAAACACTTACAGTGTGCACCATCATAAACATAGTAACCGATGCTGTTGTAGTACTTGTTACATTTTTCCGGTGAATCGTGATTATAACCAACATTACTAAAGTAATCGTTACATCTGTAACCATCGTACTCATGACGTCGCAATTCTCCCAAACCTGGTTCAGTGAAGAACGGAATCAGATCGATCTTCGGTCTCAGCACAATCTGGAAAAAACGTTAAAAGAAAATTTCATCAAAAACGATTCTTGAAGATATCAACAAAATTAAGGAAGATTACTTTTGAACATAAGTATTATTTTTAAGAATAAAAGTGCGAGGAATGTTACCGAATCAACGAGAATCGAAGCCGATGGTGTATCGGCAGGACCATTGAATTTTCTTAAAGTCAACAGAATCGAGTACTGTTTTCCGGCTTCCAAACAAACTGAAGGAATTGCAATTGCACTCCTGGCGTTCGCTGGTAATTGGGTCCACAAATTGTCATCGTCCGGTGTCCAGTCGGCGCATGGACCATTAGGATCGACAGGCTCATTGCGTTCAATCACAATCTGCACATCTTCCCATGTTCCCGATTGCACCGGCTCATAACGAACAATAATGTCATACCACATCGATCTGTAGATATCGTCAACAGTAAAGTTTAACGTCGATCCCTCGAGGGCTTTCATAAAGCCAATTCCCGTCCAGGTGTTGTTTCTTCCATCTCTATACGGTTCTCTGATGACCACTTGGCAATTCTGTAATTGAAAAACTATTATTAATTTCCCTTTTTGATTTTAAACTTCGATTTTTTTCGAGGACAAAAACTGTTGTCAAATGGTATTGGTAGATTTGGACCCAGGTTCAAATGGTTTGATTTTATTTGTTTGCTAGGTTCAAATAGTATTCATTTCTCTTGTGGGGACTTTTTTGGAGACTTACGTCAGTTCCTCTTGCCAATTCTCCTTCATATGTCAATAAATCGAGATATCCTGTATAATAACTCTGCTCGGGTTGATTACACGTTCGTCCAGTAACATGGGATCGACAACGACATTGACCAGTGACAACATCACAGGAATTCTCCAGTGAACCACCGGGATCACAATCGCATGCTTTACAACCATCTGCATCGTCTGAGAGACCATAGTATTCCGGTAAACATTGATTACAGTCACGTCCGGTCACGTGACGCTTACAGGTGCACTCGCCAGTCAGGGCATCACAACCCTCATTGTTCACGGTTCCAAGAATGTGACACGTACACGCTGAATGATAAAATTATTTATTTAGATGAAATGATCTATTCCGTTAAAGTAATTAATTCAGGAAATTTGTCATTATCTTTTCCTAAGAATTTCTCATTAGGAAGCTTTGTGGTTTTTTTTATTGAGTCTAGATTTAATTAAAAATCTTTAAACCTTTAATTTTAAGGTGAGATTGGAGTCTTACCTTGACAACCCTCGGGATTGTTTTCGTCAAAGTTCCAGAAGCCATTTTTACATTCGTTACAATGGCGTCCTTGAACGTTTACTTTGCAGTGGCATCTTCCTGACTCTTCACCACTAAGAAGATCCGTTCTTGAGTCGCAAATACCCTCGTCCAATGATCCACGTGGATCGCATTCGCAGGCTGCAAACAAAACGAGATTTAATCTTTGTTGTCGAATGGATTTAAAGAAGTATCTTGTAGTAGCTGATGAACACCGAAGTGTTGCATAACTAATGAAATAGTGTTTCATTTATTACTCTTCGGATAATCCATTAAAAGAATATTAAGGAAATTTAATTTTTATTTCATGGAGTGTAGATTCGAATATAAGTTGGTATTTAGATCTAGATTAGCATTAGGATCTAAGACATCATATCATGTATCAGTTCAGGATTCAAATTAAGATTCGAATAAAAGTTAGTATTTGTCTCTAAATTAGAATCTAAATAAGGTTTAAAATTTAGAGTAAGATGAGCGTAATATTTTAATTAGTCTCTACTTCAAGATTAGAATTTAGTTTTGGATTAGGATCAAGATTGTGATAAAATTCTTACGTTGACAAGCTTCAGCATCCGAAATATGTTTACTCTCGTCATGATAGTAATAAAGTGCGCACTGCTCGCAATTTTGTCCTCTCGTATTGTGCTGACAATTGTCGCAAACACCACCTGATAATTTTCCCGATCGCTCATAAACTGCCTGATCAAAATGGCACGACGTCGTGTGATTATTGCAATTACATTCACGACATGCATTCGTTTGCTTTCCAACTGCCGGCTTCCATGGTAAATCGTTGTAAAAATCTTCGCACAATTCGCAATTGAGTCCCTTTGTATTGTGTGTGCATTCGCATCTGCCATGGACCATGTTCTCCTCATTGATAACACCGGGAAGCGGTAGACAACGTGAAGCGTGACCATAGCATGAGCATGAACCCCTAATTACCATATCATTAATTGCATAGTAATATTTTTCGCGAATTTCCGCTCGACTATCCAAAAGATCATCGCCAAGTGTGTGTAATTTGGTGAAGTTTATTCGTAAATTCGTTATCTTGAGGAGATTTTGCACTTCCTTTGAATATGGATTGCTGATCAGTAGATTCGATGGTAGGACTCTGAAATATTTGTTTATTATTAAATTTCATTTATTTATTTATTCACTCATTTTATTGTTAACATTTAACTCTAAATAAATATTCGATAAATTAAATATAAAAACTAGAGTTGAACGATTAATTTTGCGACTAAAAAATTAATTTTTTCAGAAGCTTACGTCACTGGTTCCAAAGGAAGACTGTAAAGTAAATTGACAATAGATTTTTCGCTCGCTATTTTAAATTAGAGAATAATTACAGAAAATAATTAAAACTATTTTTCTTAATTTCTTAAGAGCTTACTTTATCGTATCCTGGTCCAAACTGCAAAATTTGATTTAATTTTTGATATTCAAATATTGGAATTTAGAAGTAAAAAATTAGTGAATGAAATTAGTAATTCTAGTGATAAATTGATGATTATTTATTAGTGAATAAAATTAGTAATTTTAGTGATTAATTGATGATTATTTATTAGTGAATAAAATTAATTTCAAAAGAATTTTTGCAAAGTTCACCTAAAAATAAGATCTCCATTTTGCGATGGTGCAACGTGTGAATATCTCGTTTCGCAAATAACGTCCGTTAATTTTTGTGGTGCATGAGTTGGAATGCCGGGGAAAAATTGCTCGCAATTATGGGCAAAATAACGATAGACTTGCCACGTTTTACCAAAATCGTAAGATCTTTCAATTAACATTGCAGCTGGTCTAAATGTTTGGAAGCGAATAATTATATGCGTAAAATGAAATTCCGCTTCCAAATCAAAAGTTAGTGTCACATTTTCCAATCCATTTTCTGCTTGCCACCACGTTCTGTGTGGAACTCTGAAATTATTTATTTATTATTATTTATCTAATTATTTGTCTTTAATTATTTATTTAATAATGTAAACAAATGAATTTAAATATTTTCAAAGAAATTTTTCGAAAATTATTTTAAAAAAATCGAGATAAAGAAGAACTTTAGTAAAAATTTTCATTTACTCACCCACTGACGATATTTTCAATACTGTGTTGTTTTTTTTGCGAGGACGCATCACAGAAAAAGCACTTTTTCCTATCCTTCAAATGTGAAACAATACAATATCTTTCTGGTCCATTTAAACCACACGTCGACGATGTCTTTAATCGATCTGTCCTTCCAATTAATAAATTACCTGTCGCAGGATAACACGAACTCTGCTCGCAGGGATGAATTCTCTTTGGTTTAATGCCTAAAAATTGAAAAAGAAAAAAATCCGTTCTCAGTTCAGAAAAAAAACAAATTTAACAAAAAAATTCCGTAAATTAAAAATCTCGCTTGCAAGTTTTTTTTCATTTTAGAAAACTAATTACAGCTTTGGTTGCAGAGCAAAATTTTTTTTTGTTACTTTCCCAATAACACCACAGTTAGTCTTCTGCAGCGTTGATCATTGATCATTTTTTTTTTATTTTCGTTCAAAATTTTTCCAGTAAAAAACTCTTAGAAAATTTTCTTTCACATTTTTTCTAAGGATATCAAATTGAGACAAAAAACGTTATTAAAATTGTAGCCTCGCAACAAAAAATTTAAGGGAGCAAATAAAAAAAATTAAGCAGGAAATTAAGAAAAAAACTTTTTTCTTAATTTCCTCCTTAATTTTTTTCTTTATTTGCTCCCTAAAATTTTTTTAAATATTATTTAATTATTTTTTTTAGCAAATTTCGAATAAAGTAGAATTGAAAGATTGAAACAAAACAATACCAATGATCATTTGCAGAATTTTTTTTTTCTGTGCAAAAAGAAAGGGAAAAAAATTTTTGAAAGGTACTCTCACCGGTTGTAAAACAAGGATTTTTCATAAGCTATTTGTTTAATTATTTTTACTTTTTGTTTAAAAAAAAAGAAAACCGCTACTTGAGAGGTGTGATCATTCAATAAAATTGCTAACGTGCGCCAAGTGCCAAGTGTATAAAAAAAAATCAGGAAAATGTGCAAGGGTTAATTTGAATAATTCATTTCCTGTAAATTGAGCTACCTTGAGTACTTGACTCGATTGGCCATTGAGAATAATAATTTTCACCAAACGCCTCTAAGGGCGACATGTCTCCTCGCTGGACCGAACGAGTACCTATAACACCCCTTTAACTTATCTCTTATCGGGGTAACATTTTCCATATATATAGGATTTAATCTCCCATTAATACGTGACTCTCATTTTAATAAATTTATAACATAATTAAAATTCAACTAAAAAAAAATTTCAAAAAAAAAATTAATGTACAAAGCAAATGTAATAGTTAAATATAATATATTTTAAATATATATAAATACTTTATTATAAATAAATAAGTAAAAACAATACTAATATTATAATAATAAATTAGTAAGAGTAATTAATAAATAAAATAAAGTAATAGACTGAAAAAATTTATTTGATTTAATTATTCAATTTCTTGTCAGTTATAAAATAAATATTTACTATTTACTAATATTTATTAATAAATATTTAATCGTTTTTATTTGAACCAAGAAAAATTTTATTTAAATTGAAATTGAAAAATTTCAGTATTTGAAGCAAATAGAATTTAATTATAATTAGATGTAGTTTTTTATCATATGTAAGGTGTAAGCAAATCAAATAGAATTTAATTTATTAAAATAAAAATTATATGATTCTGATAAATTATACTAACTAAATTAAAATTTATTAATTAAATTGTTTAATAATTTCTTTTTTTTAAATTACCTCTTATCGGTGGCTTTGGTTGTCCATATTGCGGCTCTCCGAAACCTAAAATTAAAAAATTCATAAATTTTAAAATTTATAAAAGTTATTTGTTTACTATTCATTATGATTTGTTTATTATTTTTTTTTAAACAAAGTTTGAAACTATTTAAAAAATTGTTAAAATTTTTGTATGTAACTGGTTCAATTAATTACTTTAAGAAGATTTTTTGACACTTGCGAGCAAATTGGTTTATTATTTATTTGTTTGATTAATTAATAATTGTTTAATTAATTATTCTAGAAAGATTCATGACACTTGCGGGCAAGTTGGTTTATTATTTGATTATGCAATTGATAATTAATTGCTTAATTAATTGTTTCAAGAAAATTAAAGACACTTTCGTACAAGTTGGTTTATTATTTATTAATTAATTGTTTAATTAATTATTTTAAGAACATTTACGATATTTGCGGACAAGTTAGTTTATTATTTAATTGTTATTAAAATTAATTGTTTATTTAACTATTCTAGAAAAATTCATGACACTTTCGGACAAGCTGGTTTATTATTTAATTGTTTATTTGTTAATTAATTGTTTAATTAATTATTTTAAGAACATTTACGACATTTGCGGACAAGTTAGTTTATTCTTTAATTGTTATTAATAATTAATTGCTTAATTAAATATTCTAGAAAAATGCATGACAGTTTTGGACAAAATTATTACTATTTATTTGTAATCATGAATTAATTGCTTAATTAATTATTCTAGAAAGATTCATGACACCTGGGGACAAGTTGGTTTATTATTTAATTGTTCAATTGATAATTAATTGTTTAATTAATTATTTTAAGAAAATTAAAGACACTTTTGAAAAAGTAGGTTTACTATTTAATTGTTTAATTGATAAATAATTGTTTAATTGATTAAAAATTAAATAAAAATTAATTAATTTAAAATTTAAGACACTTGCAAAGAAGTTGGTTTATTATTTAATTACATAATTGATAATTAAATTTTTAATGAATCATTGCAAGAAGATTATTGACACTTTCGGACAAGTTGTCTTATTATTTAATTGTTTAAATTCAATTATTAATTATTTATTGCTTAAAATTTTACTAATTTTTTTTTTAATTATTTTTTTTATGATTATTTTGTTTAAAATTTACTTTCGAAATAGATTTTTGATAAATTTAAACTTGTGGCATAATTTTATTGAAAAATTGCAATAAAAATTAAGGAAAATATTCTGTTTTAGTCAGTTTTTCTCTATTTTAGAAAAGCTACTCATTTTTGCTTTTTGTCATAAAATTATTTATCTTGAGAAATAAACGGATGTTTGTGACGTGCTCCCTTCGGATAACATTTCAAATCACAGATGCGTGAATGTTTTTTATCCTTTAGGAAATATTTTTTCACGTTGTAAATAGTTTTAACTGTAGATAAACTATTAGAAACTGTAAATAATAGTGAAACTGTAGATAAACTATTAGAAACTATAAAAAATAGTGGAAACTGTAAATAAATTATTCGGAACTATTTTTATTGATTAATAAAAATTATTAATAAATTATAAATAATTCTTTGATTTGACAAAAGAAAATTATTTCCTGATTATTATTATTTGGAAAATAAAATTTCTATTTTTGTTTTAACGCACTTATTCCTATAAATTGAACTCGATATAAATATTCAAAAGGGTCATTAGATTTTTTTACATAATCTATTTCTCGGTATTTTTGGGAGTTTTGAATTTCTTTTTTTCCGAATCTCGATCTCATCGACGGAAGATGGGGTCGGAAGGTCGTGGAAATATCTAATCAGTTTTGGATAAAAAGGCTCCTCTTGTCGTTCGAGGGAAGAGAACAAAAAATGTAGGCTATATATACTCGTAAATTTCTCGCCCTACAATTATTTGATTATGAAATTTTTTTTATGTAATTTTGAAAAAAAAAATTCTTTTCTTTTTTGTAATGTTAAAATATTTTATTTACTATTAAAAAATTATTAATTCTTCTGTAATTAAAAAATTTTCTTGAGAATTCAAGTCTCTTAATTGTTTCACTACTTGTGTCTTATTTTCTTTATTTTTTTTCGATTAAATTTTCTTCATTCAGAACTAGAATTAGTTATCAATTTGAGAAGTTTCGAATGACCCAACGTGATATGATGATAATTTCCGTGTCGTAATTTATTTCTTATGAAAAATGTTGAATCAAATAAGAATCCGGGAATATTTATCAAAAAGACAATTGTCTAAATTTTATTTTTAGAGCATTTTTTTTTTGTAATTTTTAAAATATTTATAGTAAATGTTTTTTACCTGAACTAAAAATAGCGATAAGGAAAATAAAATTTCCTATTAAAATGTAGTTTCGAACTCCAACCATTGTGAACTGGTTCCGAGTTCTGCGGTTTTCAGTTCCACTGGAAAATGGCTACCACGTCATCTTTATTTATCTGTTTCAAAAGGAATGAAAAATTTATTAAAAATGCCTGCATAATTTATTTTTAACTTTACTACTATTTGTTTATAATTATTTTTTCCTATTTATAACTTCCACTTCTGTTTCTTCAGTAATCAAATAAAATCAAATCCAAATTTATTATTTTCTGTACAGTAGATTTTATTTTAAAATATTTTTTTATTTTAGTATAATTATTTTTAATTAAGACAAACATTTTTTGATTCATATTTTGAAGTCATAAATATAAAAAGTTTATTAATGAAAATAAAATTTGTATTTTATTTTTGTATTTATAATTTAATAATTTTATATTTATAATAATTTATTGATAATTTTAATTTTGTTTTATATTTTTAATAAACATTTACATTCAGTTATTCAATTCAGCTAAGAAATGTAATCTTTTCAATTGTTACAATTATTATTATTATTTTTATTACTAATTTACTTGTCGGTACTGTATTATAAATAATTAAATATAACAAGGAAATAATTTTGCGAAACTAGTTTTTTCCACAAAATAAATTAAAGAATAAAAATGAACAAATTTTCCACAACATTTTTGTAAACAATTTGCTTTAGTGTCAATTATTGTGAATTTCTTTTTAAGATTTCGAATATTATTTGAGAAAACTTAATATCAAGATGAATTAATTAATAATAATTAATTAATATACTAAATTAATATATTATTATTATTATTATTATTATTATTATTATTATTATTATTATTATTAATATTATTTTATATAAATATATTTACATCAAAAGGAAAATTAATAATAAGCTGATTATTTATATTAAAAATAAATAATAATAATATTAATATTAAGATTAATATTTACGGAAGAAAATTTTAAAAATTCTATAAAAACTAAATTTTGAAAGCACAACAGAGATTTTTCTTTATTTTTGCTTTTCCTTTTTCTTATGTAGCAATTTTTATAAATTACAAAAATTTTCTGCCAGTGTTTTAATTATTTTCAATATTTTTCTTTCGAATTTAATTTTTTTTTAATTCAATAAATTTACCTACTAGAAAAAAAAATTTGATAAAATTTATTTTTAACTGTTTTCCCAAAAGTTCTATTAAAAAAACTTTGTAGAAAATTTTTTTAATAATTAATAATAATAATAGTAATAATAATAATATAATGCTGCAATAATAATTATGAGAATGATAACAATAATAGTAATAATGACAATAAAAATGGGGATTCTAAAAATGTAAAAAAGGGGTAATTATTCTTGGAAAATAATTAAAAATTAATTTTATTAAACTGTATTTTTATTATTATTATTATTATTATTATTATTATTATTATTATTATTATTATTATTATTATTATTATTATTATTAATTATTATAAAACTAATGAAAAAAGAGTTTAAAAACAGCAAATTTTAAAAAATGGGTATTAAAATTAATAATCCAAAATGGGGTATAAAATGGGGAATACAAATAATAATACTAATAAAAATGTAATAATAATAAAGTAAATAAAATAAAAATAAAATAGTAAAAATAGAAATAAAAATAAATTTTTATATTCTCTCTAAATTTGAATTAGTAAAAAATTTTACTACTTTGAATTAGTGACTGATTTTTTGGCTTTTGAATTAGTAAAATTTACTATAATAAAATAATAGTGATTTCTACTACTTTAATAGTAAAATTTAGTAATTCAAAAGCAAAAACTCAGACAATATATTATTATTTTTACTCTCCTTTAACTAATTTTATTATTATTAAAAATATATTATTATTAATAATTTAATATTAATATTTTTAAATATAATATTAACAATTCTCTAAATTTGATTTAATTAAAAATGTTTACTAATACGAAGACTTTTTGCTTTAAAATTAGTAAGTATTTCTAATAAAGTAATTTTTATTAATCTATATTAGTAAAAATTAATAGTAAAAATGTTTACTAATTTGAATTATTGACTGGCTTTTTGCTTTTGAATAAGTAAATTTTTTTACTAAATAGTAATTTCTACTAATTTATTAGTAAAATTTTAGTAAATTAAAAATTTTTTTATTAGTAAAGTTTTAATATAGTAAAAATGTTTCCTAATTTCAATTTTTATTGACTGACTTTTTGTTTCTCAGTTAGTAAATTTTTCTAATAAATAATAATTTCTGCTAATTTAGTAGTAAAATTTAATGATTCAAAATCAAAAAGTCTGTCACTAGTAATTCAAAATTGTAAACATTTTTAATAATTCAAATTTAGAGAGTTGTTATTACAGTATTTAATAATATTAATAATAATGTATTTATAATTTATTCAAAGAAGAAATAAGAATAATAATAATTTAATATAGATGTCAATAATAATGATAATTATACAATACTAATAATAATAAAATGATGAGTTATTCTTAATAATAAAATAGTAATAACAAGAAATTTCTGTACTGTTATTAACAAAACAAAATTCTATATTAACTGAATATTGAAAGTGTATATATATACTTGAAAACCAAAAATAATAACTGTGGAATTTGTTTAAATTCGAATTCTCACTGTGCGTGGAATAAGATCGTGAAAGAGAATAAAATTGAAAGAATGACAATAAGAAGGAAAGAAAAATTATTTATAAATATAGTTTTGAAGAAAAAAAAGAAGAGAATAAATGCATAAATCATGAAAAAAAAACTAAGCACACTCATTCGCGTATAGAATATATGTCTCTTCTGCATGAAATTGCATTGCAATCGAATTTATTTTTTCCCACAGGAAACACAATATTGTAATATCACGTTCACTGAACTGAGCGAAAAAAAAATCACTGTACTATAATTTTTTAATAAACGTTATCCAAGTGTAGAAAACAAAAATTGTTTCTTTTTATTTGAAAAAAAAGAAACATTTAAAATTTTTATTAAAAAGTTTCTATTTTTTTTTTTTCATGAAATGTCACTCTCTTATGTATACACGAGGTTTTTGCCTGACAGAAAAGCCTCTTACAGGTTTACTTTCAGACTGTAATACCAAGAGTTTGTCTCATAATTTCTCTCTCTCCTTCTCTTCTTTTTTTGTTCATCTCTCTTTCTCTCTCTCTCTTTTCTATCTTTTTCTCTTTTACTCTTACTATTTTTCTCTTTTTTACTCTTACTATTTTTCTCTCTCTTTCTCTTACTATTTTTCTCTTTCTCTCTCTTTTTCTTACTATTTCTCTCTCTCTCTCTTTTATTTCTTTCTCTCTCTCTCTCTCTCTCTCTCTGACACACACTCTCTCTCACTCTCTCTGGCGGTTAGTTTCTCTCTCTCCAATTCTCTCTCACTTGTTCCTATAGCGAGAGGTACCTATAAAGCGTGTTCTGCTTATACCTATTCGGGTAGTCGGTATGTACCTGGTATGTATGAGATGTTGGGTCCGATCTTAGTCGAACGGGACCCACTGGGTCCACAGCACACACACACTTCGTGCACAATAATTTTCCTTCCGTTTTTCGATTTCAAATTTTCAAAAAGAAAATTCTTGTTGTTGTTTTTGTTATACACTAGAAATTAATTTTGTAATAAAAAAAAACACCAAAAAACTGTGATAATATTATTTCTTTTTTTTTTATTTTGAAAAAAAACAGTGATATTCCAAAAGCGAGCACACACAGACAGAAAATAATGTTGGACGCTGACGCGTCTCTCGTTTGTGAGTTAAAAAACGACGGTTCTATGTGTACTCAAGAGAGTCTGTAGCACTCGGCACTGTCGGCGAGCGAATGCGGGGGTTCAGGGGACCCGGGAATTGGTGGGAGGGATTAAATCTCAGGACGGCAACTTGCCTGTGTGTGCTGCTAAAGATTGCACTCTAGAGTTGGGATCTACTCTCTGCGCCTCCGGATGCTGTGTGCCTTTTTCTCTCTCTCTTTCTGTCTTCACGAAAATTTGACCAGAAATTTTCCATTTTCCATTTTCTTTCTGTTTTTTCCTTTTTTCTATTTTTTTTCTGAGAGAGAGAGAGAGAGAGAAAAAAAAAGTGATTTAGTTATTTAAGATCGTTAATAACGATAGTAGGTACTATTTTTGATTGGAACTAATAATTATTTTATTATGCTGACTTTGGATCCTTTGGATTAATTGAATTTATTATTACTTTATGTAATTTCAAGTTTAGCTTTGTTTTTTTTAATACTTTATATTATGGAAGTATTTTAATTCATATATTCTTAATAATTTTTTAATAATTTCATTTTTAATACACGAAAAAAAAATTTTTTCCTGCAATAAATATAAATTAAATTAGCAAAATTTTTAGTTGTTTCAGTTAAGACTTTCGCTAATTTAGAGAAACTTATCGATGTTCCAGGTAAAGGTTTTATTTCCGTGTAATAATAATAATAATAATTATTATTATTAATAATATACTCTCTAAATTTGAAAAAGTATAAAAATGTTTACTAATTTGAATTAGTGACTGACTTTTACTAAATTACTAAATTTTACTACTAAATTAGTAGAAATTATTATTTATTACAAACTCTCTAAATTTGAATTTGTAAAAATATTCACTAATTTAAATTAGTGACTTACTTTTTGCTTTTGAATTATAGTAAATTTTACTTCTAAATAGTAATTTTTTACTAATTTATTAGTAAAATTTAATAATTCAAAAGCAAAAAGTCATTTACTAATTCAAATTAGTAAAAATTTTTACTAATTCAAAATTAGAGAGAAAATTTACTAATTGAAAAACAAAAAGTCAGTCACTAATAATGGGAATTAGTAAACATTTTTACTATTAAATCTTTACTACTAAATTTTACTAATAAATTAGTAGAAATTACTATTTAGTAGAAAAATTTACTAATTCAAAAGCAAAAAGTCAGTAAATAATTGAAACTAGTAAACATTTTTACTACTAAAACTTAACTACTAATTTTTACTAATAAATTAATAAAAATTACTTTATTAGAAATACTTACTAATTTTAAAACAAAAAGTCTTCGTATAAGTAAACATTTTTACTAATTCAAATTTAGAAAATGTTATTAAAATATTTAAAAATTAACTATAATAATCTTCGTATTTCATTCTGTCTGTTCACACTTTAAAGTTAGTTTTTGTGTACGCTTCTGTTTTTTTTTTAATATTGTTTGACAGATCAAAAAAATCACATGCTTTTTTTATAACAAATTTCGTTTGACTGATCTAAATTATGCAAATTTTTCTCCTTTTTATTTATAAAAAATATGAGAAAATTGTTAATTGTTAAAAAATTATAATTAAGAAATAGGAAATATACCCATTTTATGCATAATTTATATTTCTCAATAACAATATTGTTCAGAAACTCATTCTTTTCTTTTGGAAAAGAAACATTACATATTCTATTCTATTTGTTAATTACAAATTTTAATTGAAAATTAAATTGAAATTTCTTAAATTTTTAGAAAATTTTTTTTTCTTTTAAAGGAAAAAATTCTACTCAAAAGAATGTTCTGTTACATTTATTAACGAATTTCTTTAATTGTAAAAATTATTCAAAAACATCAATAAATTTTTTTTAAATAAATATTTAAATATTATTTTTCCGTATAGGAATTAAAATTTTTGAAAACATTCAAATTCACACCTTTTTAAATTCAATAATTTATAAGAATATTTTTATAAAACATGAAGACAGCGATTGCTCCGAGTCTTCGACTCGGAGTGATCGATTTCTTCATGTTTTATAATAATTAAAAATGACAGAGTGTTAAAATCATTATTTTATATTATAAGAATATTATTACAGTAACTTTTTCAAAATTATTTTCATCATTTCAAATCAATTATTATTTTTTACAATTTTTAATTATTTTTTATAAAAATAATTGAATTCCTTAAAAAAAAAATTTTATTATTTATAAAAATAATTGAATTATTGCGAAGGAATTTATAAAAAATTTGTAATTAATTGAATTCTTGAGAAATTTTTATTATTTATGAAAATAATTAAATAATTGCGTACTTTTTTTGGGAATTTGAAATTGATTTAAAAATAATTGAATTTTGGGGAAGAATTTTGTTATTTATGAAGATAATTGGGATTTTTACGAGACTTTTTTTTTAAATTTGAAAGATAATTAAATTTTATGAAAAGAATTTTATCACTCTTGAAAATAATTGATTTTCTGCAATTATTTGTAATTTTTCCAAAAGTGGATTTTTTAGTGTTTTCAACAAAAATTTGAATTACAAATTTTTAAATTCTATTATTTTTAAAATTGCTAATTTTATCTGAAAAAGTTAGCCGTGCGCTTTAGCGCGCGAATTGTTGCTATTATTAATATTAATAATAATAATAATAATGTCATTAGTTAAAGGATAATAATAATAATAATAATATATTGACTGACTTTTTGCTTTGGTATTACTAAATTTTACTAATAAAGTAGTAGAAATTACTAATAAATAATAATTTCAACAAGATCCTAAAGTTCTGAACGTTCAAATGAACGAAATTTATTTATTTCTTCTACAAATTAAATTTTTATTGCAATTATTTTGCGTCACTATCCAAAAATTTAATAACTGAGTTTCTAACTGTAAATATTTCAGTTTTTAAATTTTTTGTGATTAGTAATTTATAAAAATATCTTCAATAAAAAATATTTCGTTCATTTGAACGTTCAAAACTTGGGGATCATATTTCAACCAATTTATTAGTAAAATTTACTGATTTAGAAGCAAAAAATCAATTACTAATTCAAATTAGTAAAGATTTTTTCTAATTCAAATTTAGAGGGTAGATTTAATTTAATATATTATTTTGATACATTCATTTAATACATTTTAATTACTTCAGTAGTTTGGACAATATTATACATTTAGTAATAGTTTAGAAATTATTTAATATACTTTTTATATTGTTAATAATATTATTTTATATAATAGTAGTTTAGAAAATCATAAGTTCGATTTCTATGAAAAAATAATTAGGGAAAAAAATATTATTTAGTTTTAATAGAAATGAAATAATATTTTCTGAAAAATAATATGACTATAAAGAAGTAGGGAAAAGTGGGGCTACTTTTAGTTTTTCTATTAATAGCAACTGACTTGTCGGTGATTCAAGACGTAGACGGTAAATATTCACTTTGAAGAGGGTTTTCATAAAGGAAATTTAGAAAAATAGATTGAAATTTACAATTATTTTACCATTAAAAAACACTGAGAAAAGAATTAATTTGATTCAAATAACGGATTACTTGTCAATTATTAAAGTAAATATTTACTTAAATCAAATATAATTTTTATCTGAATTAATTAAATGCTATTATGCTTCAAATATACTGAAATTATTGGTTCAAATAAAATTTATTTGATTTGAATAAAAATTATTTAATTTAAATTAAAATTATTTGATTCAATTAAATATTTATTTGATAATAAACAAATTTAATTGAATTAAAAAAATGTTTTTCATTAAAAATTATATTCTATGAATGAATGCGAATTTCAAATTTAATCCATTTTCTAATACGTGTGGTAAAATAATACATAGAGAAGTCAGAAGATTGAAGGATAAATAAAAATTTACAGAAAGTAAACAATAAAATTATACAAAATGTAAACAAAAATATACAAAAAGTATAAAATTTGTAAAAATATTAATTAATATTCACTTATTATCTTCATTTTTAAAATGATTATTTTTGTAACTTTTTTTTACCAGTTGCGTTATTTATTACACAAGTGTTTACGGATATGGCGATAATAAAATTGAAGTAAAACAATAATTATACAATAATTTTTAGTTTCTAAAAAAATATTTTTACATCTCAAGAAGGTGAAGAGGGTGAGAAAAAGAGATATTGAGATTGAAATGTTTGACAAGAAAATTTTCTAATTGGCTGTAATAATACAAATTACTATGAGAGTGTGCGTGGGTGAAAATGACTCAGGTCGGTATATTATCTCTTTCTAAAGGAGCACATTATATATTTGCAAGGGTTACATATTACATTATTATACCTTGTAAATTTGTGCTTTGTAAAGTTTCCGGTTTGTTACATGTACTCATAATGTGTTCGTTTATAGTTTATACATATACGTTCTAAACACTTATTACAAAGAATTTATTTTCCCGAACTCTTTCCTTTTTCCTCTTTACGAAAAAAGAAACAATATTTTATTATTATTTTTATTTTGACAAATTATTTTTTTATTCAGTTCAAAAAAATTATTTTATTATTATTTTTATTTTGACAAATTATTTTTTTATTCAGTTCAAAAAAATTATTTTATTATTATTTTTATTTTGAAAAATTATTTTATTTAGTTCAACAAAAATTATTTATAACATTATTTTTATTTTTCCAAATTATTATTTTATTCGGCTCAAGGAAAAGTTATTGTTTTTTTACCTATTTTTATTTATTTTAATCATTTCTTTTATAATAATGCCTTATGGACCGAGGGGAATTTATGCAAATAATTATTATTTCTTTATTGATATTAAAAAACAATGAAAAAATGAACATAATAAAATATTATTAAGTATTATTGTTATTATAATTTTATATTATATTATTATTATTAATAATAATAATGATATATTATTTTGTTTTATACAAAAAATAATATTAATAAAGTAAGAAAAAGTGAATAAAAATACTCTTTTGAAATTATTTATTGTGAGAACTCTAATTTAGTGCATTTAGGAGATATTATTATCTTGTGTCCTGATTTTAATGAAATGAAATCATTTTCACTGGTCCAAATCTTTACTCATATTCATTAACTAACGTAATTTGTGTTTACGAAACTAAAATCTCTTATCAACACATAAAATTACCAATATCACAAAAAAAAATACTATAACATTTATAACAGTTTTTGTGAAATATTTTTTAACTATTTTTTTCTCTATATACACGAAAAAGGAACGAAAATTTTGTTTTAAAATGAAAATTACAATTTTTTAATTAAATTTTATAGTCTATTTCTCCCCTGCTTTTAAAATTCTTTACTCAACAATATTATTTAGCAATTGGCTTTAAATGTTAAAGTTACATCTATTAATAAATCTTAATATTAATTTAATAAAATAATGTAAAATAAGAAAAAAATAATATAAGACAATAATAAAATAAATACTATGGGAAATAAAATAAATTAGCTGTAAATGTCATATAGAATTGAAAAATAAAAAACGCATTTTCATTTCATAAATTAATTAATCCAAAAAAAATTATTACATGTTTTGTAAAAAATAATGAATTAATAAATAAACGAATTTATTATTAAATTTTTTTTAAATAGTTTAAAATACTGAAAACCTTATCATTAAAATTTACGAAATTTTCATTCTTTTTTGAAATTTTGCAAAAAGCAAATGTTTACACAAATTCTAATTTATTATACAAGATTAACGTTTTTTCCAATATTTACTGTCACAATGTCAACTGTAAATTTTGTTTAATTGTCTAAAAAAAAATTTTTTTAACATTAGGAATAGTTTATAAATAAAACCGAGTGTCAATGAAAAAAAAGTATTAAAAACAGAATAAGAATAGTTTAAAGTAGACGAAAAAAAATTGTTCCAGAATCTAAAAAAATTCTCCTAGAGAAGAGAAAAGAAATGTTTTTGAAAATATTTGTAATTTTGTTAATAAATTTCTGCTTTCTTATTGATTTTATTGAAATGTGCACTCAGTCAGGCCAATATTGTACATCTGACAGTCAATGTTGTCAACTTTTGCGTTGCAAAAGTAATTCTTGTCGTTTACACGTTCGAGGCGGATGGTATAAAAAATTTGAATTTTGAAAAATTTTCTAAGAAAAAAATTCTTTTACCTATACCTATAAAAATTGTATTTATTTAATTTTTCTTTCAGAATCATTTTTACGACAAACTGAATGGCAATTTGGTAAAAAATGAGAAAATTTCTCTTTTGATATGGTTTATTATATATTATTTTTATTGTGAAAAATTATTATTTTATTCGGTTCAAGAAAAAGTTATTGTTTTTCACCTACTTTTTATTTTAATTATTTTTTTTATAATAATGTCTTATGGACGAAGGGGAATTTATATAAATAATTAATATTTCTTTATTAATGTTAAAAAATAATAAAAACAAAATGAATTGAATAAAAAAATTGTTGTTGTAATTTATAACCGTACAGAGGACTCTTAAAAATTAATTAAACAGAATAAGATATTATTAATTATTACTGTTATTATAATTTTATATTATTACAAAGTTATTTCTGTTAATACATTTTAATATATATTGATTTAATAAAATAATGTTAAAATAAGTAAAAAATAATATAAAACAATAAAATAAATGCATTGAAAAAATAAAAAAATATTATTAATAAATTTTAATTATTAAAATATAAAGTAAATTAGATCTAAATGTGATAGATATAAAATTGAAAAATGAAAAACATGAAATAAAAAACACATTTCCATTTCATAAAATAATTTCGTTAAATTTTAAATTAGGTAATCTAAAAAAAAATTATTACATCTTTTGTACAAAATAATGAAATAATAAATAAACGAATTTATTGTTTATATTTTGTTAGCAATACATTTTTTTAAATAGTTTAAAATAATGATAACCTTATCATTAAAGCTTGAGAAATTTACATTCACTTTTGCAAAAGCAATGTTTACATATTTTTTTTCAACATCTATTATCGAAATGTCAACAATAAATTTTGTTTAATTGTCTAAAAAAAATTTTTTTTAAACATTAAAAATAGTTTATAAATAAAACCGAGTGGCAAGGAAAAAAAAGTATTAAAAATAGAATAAGAATAGTTTTAAGTAGACGAAAAACAATTGTTCCAGAACCTAAAAAAAATATTCGCCTAGAGAAGAGAAAAGAAATGTTTTTGAAAATATTTGCAATTTCTTTGATAAATTTATCCTTTTTTATTGATTTTATTGAAATGTGTACTCAGTCAGGTGGTCAATGTACAAGTGACAGTCAATGCTGTCAATATATGCGCTGTAAAAAAAATGTTTGCCGTGTACATATGCGAGGCAGATGGTATGAAAAATTTAATTTTTTTGATTTACAAAGGAACAAATTTTTTTATTTATACCTATAATAATTGTATATTTATTTAATTTTTCTTTCAGAATTATTTGTACGACAAACTGAATGGCAATTTGGCAAAAAATGATAAAATTTCTCTTGTGTTATGGTTTATTATATTATTTTTATTGTGGAAAATTATTATTTTATTCAGTTCAAGCAAAAATAATTGTTTTTTTATTTTAATTATTTCTTTTATAATAATGACTTATTTACTAAGGGAAATTTATATAAATAAAAAATATTTCTTTATTATGATTATAAAATAATAAAAAAAAAAATGACTAGAATAAAATATTGTTGTAATTTAAAACCGTACAAAAGCCTCTTCAAAATTACTTAAAAATAAATTAAACAAAATAAAAGATTATTAAGTATTATTGTTATTATAATTTTATATTATTATAAAGTTACATATCTGTTAATAAATTTTAATATATATTTATTCAATAAAATAATGTAAAATCAAATTGAAAAATATAAAAAGACATAAACGTATTTCCATTTCATCAATTTATTTCGTTAATTTTTAAATTAATTAATCTAAAGAAATTATCACATCTTTTGTAAGAAATAATAAATAAACAAATTTATTGTTTACATTTTGTAAACAATAAATTTATTCTAAATAGTTTAAAATAATGATAACCTTATCATTGAAACTTACAAAATTTACATTCTTTTTTTAAATTTTGCAAAAACAATGTTACATATTCTAAATTATTGTATACTATTAACTTTTTTTTGAACATCTATTATCGAAATGTCAACAATAAATTTTGTTTAATTGTCTAAAAATTTTTTTTTAACATTAGGAATAGTTCATAAATATAAAACCGAGTGGCAAAGAAAAAAAAGTATTAAAAACAAAATAAGAATAGTTTAAAGTAGACGAAAAACAATTATTCCAGAACCTAAAAAAAATTCTCCTAGAGAAGAGAAAAGAAATGTTTTTGAAAATATTTGTAATTTTTTTAATAAATTTCTGCTTTCTTATTGATTTTATTAAAATGTGTACATCAGGTGGTCGATGTGCATCTGACAATGAATGCTGTCGAAATTCGCGTTGCAAAAATAATCATTGTCGTATTTATATAAAAGGCAGATGGTATGAAAAATTTAGTTTTTTGAAAAAATTTACTAAGAAAAAAATTCTTTTTTTTATATCTATAAAAATTGTATTTATTTAATTTTTCTTTCAGAATCATTTGTACGATAAACTGAATGACAATTTGGCAAAAAAAAATTCTCTTCTGATGTATTCTTGTTTCGTTAAATAAGAACAGTTTCAATAAGTAAAATAAAAAATTATAAATATAATCCTAGATTATTTACCTGCTAATATATATGTATAAGCAATAATTTTTTTTTTTATTATTCAATTAAAATGATTGAAAAATAATTTCTTATATTTGGATTAAAAAAATTTTTCAATTAATAAATCTAAATATTGTTATTTATCAAATTAATTAAATTGAATTTAATTTTTCATTATTCCTAATATTTTCATTGAATAAATTTTATAATTTTCAGGGGTTTCAAAAAATGTTTTTTCAAATACTGTTATAATTTTTAACGATTTTGACATTATTTTGTAGAATTTTGTTTTGGGGAAAAAAGTTGACACTCGGTATATAATAGTAAAGGATGCGGTCTAAGTTAACACGTGTTGCACACTTGTAATTCTCTGGCTTTTCTCAATTTCTTTATTCTTTTTCGGTTTATCTGATACGTTTCCAAGGTCCAAGAAAAATAAATTTTTGATTTTTAACTTATTTTTCTATTACTTATTTAGTTTTCTAGTTTAATATTTAATTATTATTTTTTCTCTTTTCTTTTTAACCATTTCTTTTTATTTAGTTTTTCCATTTTCTTTTAATATTCCATTATTACTTTATTAATTTGATTTGATTATATATTTTAAAAAACTAATTAATAAATTAATTTGCTGATTAAATTGTTAATAAATAATTATTTAAACAACAAATTGAGAGATTATCAATTACTATTGATAAATAATTATTTAAGCAAAAATTTAGGAGAATGTTAATTACTATTAATAAATAATTAATTATTTGAAAGGTAAAAAATAAATAATTAAAAATAAATTAATAATGATAAAGTTATTTATTTTTTTATTTATTTACAGATTTTATATTTATATTTATATTTCATTAATTTATAATAATTTCTATGAAAAATTGAAAGTGAAATTAAATTCTTTTTGTAATGTTATGAAATTAAAAGGAAGATTTAAGGAAAAATTAAAAAAAAAAAAAGATTAAAAGGAAGTTTTTCTTTCTTGAAAAGTTTAAGCACTTTTTTGCTTTTTTGTAAGGGGAAATATGATTTATGTCAATTATTTATGAATCGATCAAATCAATGGGGGTTAAATACGTAGTACGCACAAGTCAGCCACTTATCTTCATTGAATCTCGAAATGAGCCTTTCAATTTGTTGAGTTAATAGTCTATTTAGCCACCTTTTTAATACAGTTTAATGCCTATTTAATTCGCAAATTACTTTATTTTAATAAATTTCAATCGTTCTTTAAATTATAATTTCCTTTTTATCGATTTCTTTTAAATTTAAATACTCTTCTTTCAGACACAAAACAAAAATCTTTAAATTTCTCGAAATTAATTTCAAAATTTTTTTATTTTACATAAATTTAAATACATACAAACTTTATTATTTGTCTTATATTAAATAATTGGTGAAATATCAGGATATTCGCTTTAAAAATTTTTATTCGAAAAATAAATTAAATTTTAAGGCAGGAAATTTTCTAAATTCTGTATTAACAAGAAAGCAGTGTTTGAATTTCTCGAACTGAGTTAAAAAATTTGAATATTATTTTAAATAAATGTCAAATAATTATTTCTTGTCTTGTACTAAATAATTGATAGAGAATTAATAGAATTAATAGAATATTAGAAAATTTGCTATAAATTTTGAAAATTAAAATTAAAAATTAAAAGATAAGAATATAAATGAAATAAATTAATAAAAAATTATGTTATAAATGGTAATAAAAATAATAATATTAATAATAATAATAATAATAATAATAATAATAATAATAATAATAATAATAATAATAATAATAATAATAATAATAATAATAAAATCTGGGTTAATACAAAGAATTTAATTGAAAATTTCAAGAGAATAAGAGTGACATCGAAATGTAAAATCGTTAGTGTCAAAAAGGAAGGAAGAGATGCGTGGGTTATTATCTCTGAGTAACCCCGGTTCTGATAAGAAAATGCCATTGCCTTCTTTTTCCGTACATTTTCTTCGAACTCTTATGAATATTTTTCAATTTCTACTCTTACAAAATGATCTTTCCAATTATATTCAAAATAAAATTTACATAATAAATATTTTCTTTTCTACAAATGTAGATGATTCTTTTCATTCTTTGCTACTTTATACTATTAGCATTGCAATTTATCACGAAACAATTTTTTTATAAATCGTTTATGGTCTAATATTTAACACTTATTTCCAAATAAGTATTCAAAAAAATTTTTTATATATTTATAATTATATTTATTTATAACTTAATTATATTTATACCAAAAAAAGAAATAATTTTGTTTCTTCATAAATTATTTTTATTATATTTCTTTTAATTTACTATTTTCTTTTATTATTTCTGCAATAAATTAAAATTCATAATGTGCAATTATTTTTCGAATTTAATATTTTCATATTTTGAAACATTTTGAATTAATAGCTGATTTTTGAAGAGAGTATCGACGGAGGAACGAAGGAGAATATTGAGATTGTACGAAATTCTATCACTAGAGTTCACCACTTGTTGGTGAAAATTTATAAAATACTTTTTTTTATTCATTAGCAGCAATGAATAATTGAACATAATTTTTAAATAAAGTAATAACAATCAGTTTGGATTAAAAAAAGTTTATGATTCAATTTTTTATATTTTATACATTTTTTTTAATAATACATAATTACCTATAATTATAGTAATTATTATAATTATTATTATAAATATTATAATTATTGTAATCATTATAATTGTAATTTAATTATAATATAATTATCACAATTAATTATTCAGTTTACTTTAATTTAATTAGTTGTTAATTGAAATTGAATTATAAAACTGAATTCAAATTTTAGTGAAAATTTAATAAAATTTGATTGAAATTTAATTAATATTCCATTAAAACTACATGAAAATTTAATTAACATTTACACTTAAAATTTGATTAAAATTTACCAAATTAAAATTTTGTTGACATTTGATTCAAATTGGATTGAAATTTAATTAGAATTTTAAAAAATTTTCCTACTTCAAATAAAAAAGAAAAGTTATATAAATTCGGACAGCGTCAAAAAGAATTTTTTTAAATTAATTTAAAAAAATTCTTTTTGACGCTGTCCGAATTTATATAATTTTTCTTTTTTAAAATCTTCATTTTTTCCTACTTAATTTAATTAACATTGATTATTTTATTTCATTTTATTTCTTACGTTTTGAATTGTTTATTTACTATTCATTAAATATTTCAGAAAAATAAAATCATAAAAGAATTCTTTTTTTAAAAACGGTAATAAAAAGCTAAAACTGAAATTAAAATATAAAAGTAAAACTGAAACTAAAAACTAAAACTAAAATAAAAATATAGAACTAAAGCTAAAATAAAGACGAATACTAAAACTAAAACTAAAACTAAAATTAAAAACTGAAACTGTAGTTAAAATTAAAGGGAAAACTAAAACTAGGACTAAATTTAAAATTAAAATAAAGCGTAGACTCGGAAGAGTTTAAAATCTTTTTATTCTCTTAGGAGTAAATTACATACAACAATATTCTTGATTTGAACATTTTTCTTATAACATACATGCATGATATCAGCATTTGCTTTTTAATATTATTAATTTTTAATATACAAAGTCGAAATTGATATCGATTTATCGTTTATATTCAAAATGAAAGAGCGCGATAATTAATTAATTAAGAAAAAAAGTGTGTGTGTTCATATGTGTCTTATTTTTATATATCAAAGAAACAAATTATTGTTGAAAATTGTTTCTTGAAAATAATAGAATTAAAATTTTTTTTCTTTTTTCAATATATATTTAATTCAAGCAATAATTATTTTCTTGTAAATCTCATATATTTATGAGATTTATATTTATAATTTATATAATTTATTTATATATTTATAATATACACGCTGTCCGAATTTATATAACTTTTCTTTTTTAAAATCTTCATTTTTTCCTACTTAAGTATCTTTATTGTGACTGATGACTATTTTTACATTTTTTTTTCTCTTTTCTTTTCTTGTATATTACGCAATTTTTTTTTATTTTATGTACTCTTCTTTTGTAAATATCTCTTTTAAAAAAAAAATTGGAATTTTTTCCCCTAAAATTTCAGAGATAATTTATACGTACCACAGGTCATTAAATTTTTGTTTCTATAAATTTTTGGCAAAATTTGTAATTTAAAAATTTTGATTATTAAAAATTCTAAATTTGTTTCGTTGTATTTTTATCAGATTAATTGTTTATAATTTTGATTTGTAAAGATACAATTCAATCTTTTTCCATGATCATGTGGTACTTGTTTTTTTTATTATAAACATCAATCTAGATAATAAAAAATGCTGCAAAAAATTTGCAACAATTTATTATTCATAAAAGACGGTTTCTTTTTATAAGCAATTTTTTTTCTATTTCAATAAAAGAATGCGAGGCGGCATTAGGATTTTATAGAGATAAAAATATTTTTTAAGGTTAGATTAAAAGTTTTTTAGTTGAAAAATTAAAAAAATTAATTCTTTACAGTGATTAAAGTATTCAAATTTTTCTGCCAATTAATTTTTCGAGAGTAATTAATTAATTTTTGTAAATTTAAGATTATTTCACAATTGTTCTGAGGATATCAAATTGAGACAAAAAATGAATGAAAATGTTGCTTCGCAACACTTTTGATTCGTTTTTTGTCTCAATTTGATATCCTTGGAAAATTTTTTTGTAATGAGTATAAAGTCAAGAAAATTTTTTAAAACTGATTACTAATTATTTTTTTAATCAAGTAATTAATAAGTTTGATCAACTACATAATCAAAAAATTAATTAATTATTTAATGTAATTAACTTTAAAATCATATAATTAATCATCTAAATTAACAGTTGTGGTACAGTTTTTCTAAAACGTATTTTCTAAAAATTTTTTTTCTAATAAATATAAATTTCTAAACAACTTTTCTCTAATAAAGGTGATTTTCCAATTGTTTTTCTTCTAATAAAGGTAATTTTTCAAACAGCTTTTTCTAACAATATTTAATTTTTTTAATGACGATCAATAAGTATAATATGATTAAAAAATAAAATTTACGAAAATTTTTTAATTCTTAAAAAAAATACTTGAGATTTCGTTAACAAATTATAATAAAAAATATAAATTATGCAAATTTTTTAACAAAATTTTTAAATAATCTAGTTGAAAATCGTAATTAACAAATAAAAATTATAGGGATTTTTTCCTAAAGATATTTAAAATTTTCTAAATAAATGTTTTTTAAATAAATTAATTCTGTAAATTTTGGTATAAAAATGATGAAAATTATTATTCTTTTTCAGAGAAGAACAGAATTTTGTTAACAAATTGTGATAAGAAATAATAATTTTATAAAATTTTGTCTTTTTTTCAAAAATAAATTTATAATTTTGTAAACAGAATAATTGTGATTGAGAAACAGAAAATATGCAAAATAGTTTCTATTTCTTAACCTTAATTTTTTAACAATTTTCTAACTTTTATCAAAATTATGAAATTTTACAAATTTAGGAAAATAAATTTTGGAAATCATAACTTTTTAAAAAACTTTTCTTGGAAATTAAAACTTGTTAGAAAAACTTTTTTTAGAAAACAGATTTCATTAGAAATCGCTTTTTTTCAGACAAAAAAGATTAGAAAATATTTTTTAGAAAAAGTGACCACCTACCAAAATTAACAACTAATTAATCTTCTATTAAGTAAACTATATAATCAAATAATTGACTATTTAATTTAATTCACTACAAAAACATGTAATTAATCAAAAATTGAATTAGTGAAAATGTTTACTAATTTGAATTAGTAACTGACTTTTTGATTCGTAATTAGTAAAATTTACTAATAATAATAGTAAATTACTAATTCATATTTGGAGAGAACACAATAAACTAATTTTCTTAAGTTTCTTAAGTTACTAATGATTAGTTGTTAAATAAATAAATAAGTAACTAATTAGTAGAAGTTTGCTATTTGTTAATTGTCAGTGAGCTATTAATTAGTCACTAATTAGGTACCAAATACATACTAATTAGATACTAATTAGGCAGTAATAAGTCATTAATTATTATTATTATTATTATTAATTATAAATTATTATTTACTCACCAATAATTTTCTAATTAGATACTAATTAATTTCTAATAATTTACTAATTTTAAACTAATTAGGTACCTACTTATTTTTTTTACTAATTTTCCACTAATCAGTTACTTACTTTTCTACGAATTTTTCACTAATCAGTTACTTATTATTTCCTCAATTGACACTAATTAGTTAGGTACTTATTATTTACTCAATTATATTTTATTAATATTTTATTAAAATTTTAACAAAATTAATAATAATTAATTACTCAATTGATACTAATTAGTTACTTATATAAGTTATTAATTTGACATATTCTTGTTACTTGTTAGTTACTAATTAGCATCTATTTGTTTTAATATTAATTGGCAGATTTGACCTTTTTGGGACAAATTTAAAATAATTAATAAATATCCAAAAACAAAATAATTCTTGATATTCTGGAATTAAAATATTTCACGTTTGAATTAATAAAAGTAAACTAAAATTTTATGTAACGATTAAGAATATTTCTATTTTTAAAGATGCATTATTCAAGACGTAATTTATTATATTTCGGTTTTAAAAAAGTTTTTATTTAAAAATTGCAAGTTAATTGTGAATAAAGAAATTTATAATGCAGTGAATTCTCAATTAATGCATATATTAATTGGTTTAGAATATTTTCAAGGATAATTATTTTGGGCTGGAGAAAATTGACTGCTTTTCATTTATAATGTTTGCTCTTTGCTCTTTTTTTCTTTGAATTGAACATTTTTTTAGTTTCAGAGAAAATGAAGAAGAATTTATATTCTTCCGTTTGCTTATATTTTCCAGTCAGTCTTCTTTTTTTTCAAATTTTTTCTTCTCCCTTTTTTGCTTTAATTTTTTGATTTTTTGATTTTTCTTCCCTTTAATTTTTTTAGATGACATTTTTCATATTTACTATTTTTTTCTCGTTTACTTTCCCTAAGCCCTTTCGTGTATCCTTTTTTTTCAATTTATCCGTATACTTTTTTAAATTGATTCGTATACTTCTTTTAATTTATTCGCTTTTTTTTAGTTTTTGTGACAAATTTTTTAATGATGTTTTCTGTAATTTTTGTTTGTTTAAATGTACTCGGCAAACATAATCCAATAAGAAACGTTGAGTGAAATGAATAAAAATGGAAAGAATACTCTTGAAAATCTGTCTATGCTGACGGCGCGCATTTTCCCTCTTTGGGCTGGTGTTAGACCCGGTGGACCCGGTGGTGGACCAGTTGTCGATTTCTGTGATCGGCCCGATAATAACATTGCATTCTCCTGTGTGACAGTAATCAGAAATCATCAATCAAATTAAATTTATTCTGTGCCTCGAAAATGAGATAATTTTCTTTATTTTCTATTACGTTGAAATATATTTTAGAGATTTTCTTAATATAGGGCAGCTCCATACGAAAAGCAAATGGTGGATCACCGATTTTTCTTAAAGTTTGTAATTTTGTAGTACTTGGGGTACTAAATAACTGTGCCAAACAGTTTTGCAAAAAAAAAAATTTTTTGCAAGATATTTAGATTTGAAAAATCGGAAACTGAAAAAAATGACTTTTTTTGAGAATTTTTATTTCGAAAACTATTGATTCTACAAGAAAAAGTCATTTATTCAAAATTGTAGAGAAAATGCCAATTTTTTATAATATTAAAAAAAAAGTTAAGAAAAATTAATTTTTCAATAATTTGTTTAAACAATAATTTTTTATTGTTAAAAAAAAGAGCAAAGGACATCATGGAATATTCTAGAAAAATTATTTTCTCAAAATTTGAACCTTCCTTAATAAGTGGTTAAATTTTTAAAGAAGTGATTTTTGGTGTTTTTGAGAAAAAAATTTTTGAAGTTTGCACTACGAGTTTTTGTGCGTTGCGCTAACTAAGCAGCGCCTATATCAGTGTATTTTAAAAGATAATATGACCTTTACTGCTCGCCCCTAATACATTTATTAATTATATACGTATATATTTTATTATAAACAGTTTAACAATATACTTTTACTTTACTTTTTTTTTACTTTTTTACTTTTTTATAAACATTATTTTCCTTTTTTTAACCCATTAATGCCCATGGGCACAGGAACGCAGGTATAAAAAGTAACTATTAAGATCCTGGCATAGGGTCTAATGATAATTTTTGACTTTAAAAATTTAAAAAAAAAATTTTTTTTATACAATTGGTATAAACAAATGAAGAAAAATTGATTTTCATAAAAAACTGATAGCGCCATTCGATTCGACGCAAAAAACTACTACGAGAACGTATATTACATAATTTTTAAAAAAAGACATATTGTTGTAAAAATGTTATTAACGAGGTTCCAGGGATCACGAAATAAGACCAAAGATTCACGGTTTTAAGTAAAGTCACAGATTTATTAATAATGAGCGAAAAAGATTAATTAGATACAAAAATGTACTATTGTCTCAAGCGTCTCTATGAGAACTGAATGAATAAAAAGAAAGACGCCGTAACAGGCGATTAAACAAAAATATAGCGGAAGCAGATGGCACCACCAGATATAAAATAAAACAAGTTATAAAAAGGGAGGCTCAATTTGAATATTTCTAACAAATGTTATAAACAATTAGCCTGCATTTATACTGTACGAGATAGAAGGATCGTTTTTGAAGTTAATAATTTTTTTAAAGAAAATTAGTTTAATTAGGAGACTTTTTGACGTCAAAAATTTTTTAAACAAAATTTTTACCTGAAAAACGATCCTTCTATCTCATACAGTATAAATGCAGGCTAATTGTTTATAACATTTTTGGAACAATATCTCTTTTTTTAAAAATTATGTAATATACGTTCTCGTAGTAGTTTTTGCGTCGAATCGAATGGCGCTATCAGTTTTTTATGAAAATCAATTTTTCTTCATTTGTTTATAACAAATTGTTTAAAAAAATTTTTTTTTTAAATTTTTAACGTTAAAAATTATTATTAGACCCTATGCCAGGATCTCAATAGTTACTTTTTATACCTGCGTTCCTGTGCCCATGGGCATTAATGGGTTAAAAAAAGGAAAATAATGTTTATAAAAAAGTTAAAAATATATTGTTAAACTGTTTATAATAATAATATATATACGTATATAATTAATAAATGTATTAGGGGCGAGCAGTAAAGGTCATATTATCTCTTAAAATACACTGATATAGGCGCTGCTTAGTTAGCGCAACGCACAAAAACTCGTAGTGCAAACTTCAAAAATTTTTTTCTCAAAAACACCAAAAATCACTTCTTTAAAAATTTAACCACTTATTAAGGAAGGTTCAAATTTTGAGAAAATAATTTTTCTAGAATATTCCATGATGTCCTTTGCTCTTTTTTTTAACAATAAAAAATTATTGTTTAAACAAATTATTGAAAAATTAATTTTTCTTAACTTTTTTTTTAATATTATAAAAAATTGGCATTTTCTCTACAATTTTGAATAAATGACTTTTTCTTGTAGAATCAATAGTTTTCGAAATAAAAATTCTCAAAAAAAGTCATTTTTTTCAGTTTCCGATTTTTCAAATCTAAATATCTTGCAAAAAAAATTTTTTTTTGCAAAACTGTTTGGTACAGTTATTTAGTACCCCAAGTACTACAAAATTACAAACTTTAAGAAAAATCGGTGATCCACCATTTGCTTTTCGTATGGAGCTGCCCTATATCAAATTGATTTTGGAATTTTTAACTCTCTAATAAATGATTTTTTTTATACATAGTTGAAATTTAAATTTTATTACAAAATATTTTTTTAATTTAAAAAAATTAATTCTTAACAAAGTTTATTATTTAATTTATTTGTTTTCTTAATTTCATTACAGGAACTAGCAAATGATACGCTCGCCAGCGCACGAAACGCGGTATTCTTTGGAGGAATTCAATTACTTTCAATACAATTTTAATTGAATTTCTCGAAAAAATAGAATTATTTTTAAAAATATTAATTAAATTCGATTATTTTCAATAATTTTAATAAAATTCTTTGGAGGAATTCAATTATTTTCTGAAATAGTAAAATTCTTTGGAGAACTTCAATTATTTTCATAAATAATAAACTCATCGCAAAATTTCAATTATTTTCATTAATAATAAAATTTTTCGGAACAAATCAATTAATTTTAATAAAATATCTCGAAAGAATACAATTATTTTTAAAAATATTAATTCAACTTAATTATTTTTAAAAGTTTTAATAAAATTTTTCGATTGAGTTCAATTATTTTCCAAATTTTAAATAAAACTCATTCAAACATTACATTATTTTCAAAAATTCTTCAAAACAATTCAATTATTCTTATAAATAATAACATTCTTTGGGAGAATTCAATTATTTTCATAAAGAATAAAATTCTTCAATTATTTTTATTAATACTAAAATTCTTCGGATAGGAAATTAATTATTTTTAATACAATTTTAATAAGATTTCTCGAATAAATACGTTTTAATAAAATTTCTGATTGCAATCAATTATTTTCAAAATTTTTAATAAAATACTTTCAAAAATTCACTTATTTTCATAATTTCTGATAAAATTCTTCGAAAAAATTATTTTATTTTTAAAAAACGTAAAATTCATTGGAGAAATTCAATACATTTTAAAAATATTAATTGAATTCGATTATTTTCAACAATTTTGATAAAATTCTTGGAGGAATTCAATTATTTTCTGAAATAGTAAAATTCTTCGGATAAATTCAATTATTTTCGTAAATAATAAACTCATCGCAAAATACAATTATTTTTAAAAATATTAATTCAATTTAATTATTTTTAAACGTTTTAATAACATTTTTCGTTTAAATTCAATTGTTTTCCAATTTTTTAATAAAACTCTTTCAAAACATTCAATTATTTTCAAAAATTCTTCAAAATAATTTAATTTTTCCTATAAATAATATAAATAATCATATAAATAATTTTTCGGAAGAATTGAATTATGTTTATAAATAGTAAAATACCTCAGAAGAATGCAATTATTTTCAATCCAATTTTAATAAAATTTCTGGAAATTAACAAGTATATTTAAAAATATTAATTGCATTTCAATATTTTCAACAATTTTGATAAAAGTCATTAAAAATATTAAATATTTTTAAACGTTTTAATTAAATTGTTTGAATAAACACAATTATTTCTAAAATTTTTTCTAAAATTGTTTCAAAAAATGTAATTCAATTATTTTTATAAATATTAAAATTTTTCAAAGGAATTCAATTATTTTCATAAATATTATAATTCTTCGGAGGAATTCAATTATTTTTAATACAGTTTTAATAAAAATTTTTGAAAGAATACAATTTTTTAAAAAAAATATGAATTAAATTCAATTATTTTCATCAGTTATGATATAATTCTTAAGAAAAATTAATTATATTTTAACGTTTCAAATAATTTTTCCGATTGAATCCAATTATTTTCAAAAAATATGCTAAAATTTGTTGAAACAATTCAATTATTTTTATAAAAATTGTAATATAGGTAGAATTTTTCTCAAAAATTCAATTATTATTCTCGAAAGTTTTCGATAAAATTCTTTGTAAATTTCAATTATTTTCAAAATTTTTGATAAATTCTTTGCAAGAATTCAATAATTTTCAGTACTTTAAATTTTTAAATTATTAAAAACATTGAATAACGAAAAATTAAAAAAAGTTTAGAAACAAAGAAGCAAACTGCGAACAGATTACCGGAATACAACGATTAATTATATAGATTTTTGAGAATTGTTGAAAAGAATAGAAATTGATCATTTCAATGTTTAAAACTTTGGTAGAATAATTTTCATTTATTGAAGGTTGAAAAAACTTTGCGAAAAAATAATTTCTTTTTTTTTAAATTTATTTTTAATATATATTTTTTAATTTATTTCGTATTTTAATGATTTTCATAGAAACATAACAATAAAAAGAAAGTTCTCGTTGAAAAAGTTTTTCGAGGCACAGAAATTTCTACAGTTGATAAATAATATAATGTTCAGCATGGCATTACCTTGCTGGCGATATCAAATATTTTGTCCAGTTTGGTTGTATCTGGACCGGAAGATGATGTGGGCGCGGGTGCCGGTGGGGTTGCTTTTGATTTTGGTTTTGGTGGCATATCGAAATCGCCGAGTACGATATTCACTAGACAATATTCCATTAAGGCCATGAACACAAATATCGTGCACACTGACATGAAAGCATCGACAGCCTTTAAATACGAGACTGGTGGTAGTGACGCTTGACTTTTTGCATGCTGCGTCGAAAGCGTCAGCAGAGAAGTCACTCCAAGTGTCACTCTCGCCGGGGCTGCTTCCGGTTTTATCCAAAACGACACCCACTGGAGTCAAATTATATCTTTAGTTGCCTTATTCATTACTATTATTATTATTATTATTTATTTCAACTATTATCTACTACTATTTCTACTAGTATTTCTATTGTCGATTATACATATTATTTATTATATTTATAATATAATTTTCTTTCATTAAAAAATATTATAGAAAATTCTCAATTTTCATAAGGAAATAATTTGCATCAATTCTATTTCTTAATTTCAATTGTTTTAATAAAATTCAAAGTTTTTTTTTAAAATAAAGGAAAAAAATGTTTATAAATTATATTTGTCAATTAGTAAATTTAATTGAAAATGAAACTAAAAATTTTTGAATTTTTAGAAAATAGAGGGAAAAATTTTTTTGAAAAAAATGTTCTGTTAAATTTATTTACGAATATCTTTAATTGTAAAATTATTCGAAAACAATCATTTATTTTTTAAATATTTTTAATATTTAATTATTATTATTTTTCCACAGGAATTAAGATTTTTCAAAAATTTCACTCGGAGTGATCGATTTCTTCATGTTTTATAATAATTAAAGAGAATCGAGTGTTAAAATCTTTATTTTATATTATAAGAATATTGTTACTGTAACTTTTTAAAAATTATTTTCATATTCAATTAATTATCTAAAATTTAAACTAAAATTCATTTTCAATTCATTTTTTATTAGAAAATTCTACAAGAATTCAATTATTTAAAATTTTAAATACAAAAGTAAATTATTTATTGAATAATTGAATTCTTTTGACGAATTTTAATAAAAAATTTTAGAATAGTTACATTTTTCAAGGAATGCGATTAAAATTGTATTAAAAATAATTGAAATTCTGCGATGAGTTTTATAAATTTTTAAAAATAATTGAATTATTGAAAAGAAGATTATAAATAATTAGGTAAATATTTGAATTCCTGTGAAATTTTTATTATTTATGAAAATAATTAAATGTTTGCATACAATTTTATTAAAATTGTTTTTAAATAATTGAATTCTTTTGATGGGTAATTTTATTAAAATAGTAGATATTAAAAATTCTTGAAATTAGGAAATTTTTTGAAAATAATTGAAATTTTTACATTTAATTTTATTAAAATTTTTCAAAATAATTGAATTTTGAAAAAGAATTTTTTTATTTATAAAGATAATAATAGGGATTTGGTTTAGATTTTTTTGTGATTTTTGAACATAATTGAATTTTGTAATAAGAATTTTATAACTTTTGAAAATAATTGAATTTCTGCAATCATTTGTAACTTCTTCAAATTTCAATTTTTTTTAGTGTTTTTAATTAAAATTCTTCTATAAATCCATTATTTTTAACAATTAATTAAATATGTACATATATTGACAAATTTAAATAATTTTAGAAGATTTTGAATTATTAGAATTTTTCAAAAATCGAAGTTCATTAAAATTTCTAATTAAATTCATTCAACATTAAAATTTTATAAAATTTCAAATTTCATTTATTTATGAAAATTGTAAACGCAACTCTTTTAAAATTGAATTAATTTTGAAATATTTAAGTAAAATTATTGCTAAATTATTATTAAATAATTTATTTATTTTATGATAATTGTTCAAGATTTAAGTTATTTACAAAGAAATTTTTGTCAGAAATTGAAAAAATTGAAAGTTTTGTATTAGAATTCGTGGTAATTTTATAGTTTAATTGTTAATTTTATTCAAAAAAAATATTAGATTAAATTATAAATAAAAAATTCTTAAATATAACTAAATAATGGAATAAAGTGAAAAAAAGTTTTATAGAAGACAAATTAAAATAAATTTGACTTTCTGTAATTGAATTGTCAAAGCATCTGCAAACTGATTTTATTGTATGTGCACGGTACGTAAAATACACGTCAATGAACCTCTATGTCACAGTTCTTCTGCAAACATTAGCTTATGTTCCTAGGATTTTGGCAAATATCAATCAGAAATTATGGCAAGTGAGAAATCTTGAATCTCTAAATCTTCAATGCTGACAATTGCGCGGTCCTTATTATTTTCTCATACCACAATCACCACACAATTTTTTTTCCCATTGTACGAACAAATTCTTTAATTCTTTAAAAAATAATTATTTTTATACGTTTAAATAAAATTTTTCGATTGCATTCAATTATTTTCAAAATCTTTAATAAAATTCTTTCAAATTCAAACATTCAATTATTTTCAAAATTTTTGATAAAATTCTTCGAAACAATTCATTTATTTTTAAAAATCTGCAAATTTTCCAGAAAAATGTTTAGTTTCTATAGGTAAATTAACAGAAAAAATTAATATTAAATTATTAACTAGAAAATGTAACTAGAAATTTAACTAGAAATTTTTTTTTTTTAATGTGAAAAGTAAATTAAATATAGAAAAAGAATTAAATTTCACTTACCGACATAATTACTATTAAACATGTTGGGACATATGTGTGAAATAAATAATATCCCAAGCGACGTTTCAGGACGAAAATTACCTCTAAGCAGGTGAAATTCCCTATTGAAAATAAGAATCAAAATTTTTATAAACTATTTTTATTTTTAAAAATCGAAATCAATGTTTTTATAAGGCTTTTTTTATTTTTAAAAAACAGAAGGCAATATTATTGTTAAATAAAAGGGATTAAAAATAACAAATGAATGAAAAGTAATAAAATTATTCGTTGATATTTATTATTTTTAATGTTATTCACTAAATATCCACTAAATTTCACTTTTGATTTTTGTTCTAAATTTCACATTAAAAACATAAAGTTATTGTTGGTAGAAAAAAACAATAAACAATTAAATAATAATAAATAATAAATAATAAATAATAGTGAATATTTTGTGATCATTTTAATTAATATATTAATGAATGAAAGAAATAAATTACTATTAAGTAATTAATTAAATTAATATTAGTATTATTTGTTATTTTTTTGATCCAACAATAATTCATATTCCTTAAGTTTTAAAAGTTCAAATGAAAGACGATATTTTTTCACTCCCAGTTTTTCTAAGGATATAAAATGGAGATAAACAAAAATTGTAATCAAAATTGTTGCGAAGCAACGTTTTGATACATTTTTTTTTATATCCTTAGAAAAACTGTGGCTTTTAATTTGTAATTATAAAAAATTAAATAAATAATTATAAAAAATTATAAATAAATATATATATAAAAAAAAATAATTCTTTAATAAGTAAATGTTTAGTTTTAATTTTTTTTTCATCTCTGTTTTCTAATATTGATAAATATTTAAACAAAACAAAAATTTCGTTCATTTGAACATTTAATATTTGAGTCGGATAATAAAAATTTCCTTTTTTTAATGTAAAATTTCGAACAAAAGTCAAGAGGGAAAGAAGTAAAAAAAAAAAAATTCTCTTCATGTTCATGATGGTAAATTAAGTAATTAACAAAATGTATAAGTTACCGGTAGAATAGACCTGCGTGCAGTCGGCCGTGTAATTCTTGACGAGTTGCAACTGGGGTAATTCAATGTTTTCATCGACAACAAGGGGAACGTCGGGATCCCACTGGAAAATCATCTCATCCGTCGTGTGCGATACTGTCGACCGAGATTACTTTGTCTTTATAAAAATGACTTTTCAATATCGTGATTACCACAAAGGAAATTAAATTTTTAATGAGCGCTTTAATTTCAAGTCTCTCTCTCTCTGCTTTTGAATATGCGTTTGATAGGAAAGAAAAATTCATATAATGACATTAACTACTTTTGCGAATAATTGACTTTATATTTCAATTTCATTTGAAATTTCTCCCTCTCTTCAAAGTTAGAAAAAAAATGTCGAGAGGAAAAAAATTATCAATATGGTGAATTATAATCAAAATTATGAATTGAATTTTTAATTAAATTTCTATTTTTCAAAATATTTTTTCGTTATATTGAATTGATTCAATGTGATGAACATATTTTTCCTTCTTCAATACATTGAACATATTTTTGTTTCTTTTATGTTTTTATATTTTTTTAAAATATATTTTTCTTTCTTTTAATTTTCAATAATAACAATTTTAAATAATTCGATTAGTGGAGAAAAATAATGAATTCTAAACATTTGTAATTTAAATTATAATTATTCTCTAAGTCGATGGGATTATATAGTGAATATTGACATATTTAAACAATAGGAAATATTGTATTAATATTTAAAATAGAATTATAAAAATTACTCACAGCTTTCCATTTGTAATTTACATTCTTGTGTGTCGTGTGGATATATGAGAAAATTCATGGCACAAGACAGCCTCAATGTCAGTCTGAATAAAATTTTTAAACGAATATTTAAAAATAAATTTAATGGGAATTCAACAATAGAGTTTAATTAATTTATTAATTTATTATTAATTTATTATTAATTTATTAATTAATAATTAATTTACCTAATTACTTAAACTCCAATAATTAATTTAATTAATTTTCATTGAAAAATTGAAATTAACTCCATTCCACTTACTTGACCATGTAAAGAATAGTTTTGTCCTTATAAAGCCACAAGTAATGATTTGGAATCGTCATTGTTTGAAAAGTAACGGATTTTGCATTCTTGAAGAACGAATCCGGTCGCCACATATTTTTCAGCCAATCGACTTCTAATAATCTTGATTAGGAAAAAAAATTTTTACAAATGAAACAAAATTTACGAATTTTTTTTTTATTTATTTATTAAGGCAGAAAATTATTATTATTATTATTATTATTATTAATATTATTAAACAGAAAATTTAATTAATTAACAATAAAATAGAAAATATTAATTTTTTAGTAATAGTTTTGTTATAAATATTACACACCTATATTCGGACGTCATGTTTTCTGGAAGCCGCAGCCTATTGTCCTTCCAAGTTTGAGCGAAAAAAATGTCCGCGGCGTAGGTCTGTAATAATAAACGATTTTTAATTAAAAAAATTTACTTTTATTATAGCAATTTGTTTGCAATTGAAATTAACAACTAAATTTCAATTTAAAATATTTAAGTAAATTTTCTTTTTGTTTTCAAAACAAAACTATAACTAAAAAATAAATTTGTGAATGGAAAAATAGGTTTGAATCAGACATTTTTTTTTTTTTTAATTGTGTATAAAAATTTCTTGTCAGTAGTACGAATATGTTTGAGTCAGACAATATTTTTCTGAATCGTTAGAATTTTTCTATAAGTAGTAAAAACAAGTTTAAGTCGGACAGAATTGACAATTGTCAGTAGTCAGTAGAAAAAGTCAAAATTAGATAGACGATCTATTTATAATTATTTTCAGTCAGACAAAACTTTTCCAAATCGTGAGAATTTTTCTTTTAGTAGTGCAGGTAAATTTGGATAAGACTAAACTTTTTCGAATTGTGTCAAAATTTTTTTTGTCAGTAGTACAAATATATGTTTTGAGTCAGACAAAATTTTTCTTTGTTTTTTGAATTTTTCTATCAGTAGTAATAGTCAATTTCAGTCAGACGTGAATTTTAAATTATCGTTTCTTTAATTCATTTTTCTAATGTTGCCGCATCAGTAGCAGAAATTCATTTTAGTCAGTCTATTCAAATTACCTTAAATTTTGGTCCCAGTAGTGTAAGTCAATATGAGTCAGACACAAATTTTGTTAAATTATTAAAATTTTTCTGTCAGTAGTATAAATACGTTTCAGTCAGACAAAGTTCGTTTGGATCTTTAGAATTTTTCTGTCAGTAGTGCAAATTAATTCGAGTCGGACAAAAGATTTTCCAAATTGGAACAATTTTCTTGTCAGTAGTACTAAGAAATTAAGGTCGGACAAATTTTTTTTTTTAATGATTAGATTTCTTTTTCAGCAGTACAATAAATTTTAAATTAGCCAGAATTGATAATTGCAGATAAATTAATATTTCAGTAGTAGAAATCAATTTTAGTCATACATGAATTTTTGTTATTATAATTTTACTAGTCATTATTTGTCAGTAATAATATAAATAAAATTAAAAAATTTTCAAACGTAATAAAATTCTTCGAAGAATTTCGATTATGTCAAAAATTTTTTAAAAATTCTCTTCAAAATTTTAATTATTTTTAGAAATAATAAAATTCTTCTCCGAAATTAAATTATTTTCAAAAATTTTAATAAAATTCTTGGCAAAATTTCAATTATTTTCATAAGATAATAAAAGTTTCACACGAATTCAATTATTTACAATATCTATAAACTTCTTATCAATAATTCAATTTTTTTAAATAAATAATAAAATTTCTACATGGATTCAATTATTTTCGTAAATACTAAATAATAAAATGCTTTTTAGGAATTCAATTATTTTCATAAATAATAAAACTCATTGAAGATTTTGTTAAAATTCGTAGAGAGAATTCACTTATTTAAAAAAAATTTTTTTTATAAAATTCTTTACGAGCATTCAATTTTAAGAAAAATTCAATTCAATATTATTTATTTTTAAATTTAAATAATTGAATTCCAGTAGAATTTTTTAATAAAAATTAATTTAAAAATGAATTTAAGTTAAAATTTTACATAATTTCTAAATATTAAGAGTATTTCAGGATAAATTTTTAGAAATAATTCAATTAAGAAAAGGTTTAATTTTAAAAATTTTCTACAATTCAATGATTTTCAATATCTACTATTTTAATAAAATTTTCTAAAAGAATTCAATTATTTAAAATAAATTTAATTATTTTCATACTCTCTAAATCTGAATATGTGAAATTTCACTTATTGTACGTTATAAGTCGTCCTCTCGATCAATAAGTGCATATACACTTATAAATAAGTGAATTTTTCACTTATTCTGAGTGAAATTTCACTTATTATAAGTGTATATGCACTTATTGATCGAGAAGACGACTTATAACGTACAAATATGTGAATTTTCACATATTCAGATTTAGAGAGTAAATAATAAAAATTTCACAGAAATTCAATTATTTACAAATTTTTTATAAATTTCTTCGCAATAATTCAATTATTTTCATGAATAATAACATTTTTACAGGGATTCAATTATTTTCACAAATAATGAAACTCATCGCAGAATTTCAATTATTTTTAATTCAATTTTAATCAAATTTCTCGAAAAATCTAATTATTCTTAGAATTTTTATTAAATTTCGTCGAAAGAATTTGAATATTACAAAATTTGTTGATAAAATTCGTCATGAAAATTCAATTTTAAGAAACATTCAATTATTCAATAAATTATCTATGTTTGTATTTAAATAATTCAATTCTCGTAGAATTTTCTATTAAAAATTGATTTAAAAATGAATTTTAGTAAAAATTTTAGATAATAATTAAATATTAAAAGTAATATAGTGTGAATTTTTAGAAATAATTGAATTTTGAAATGAATCTTTCGTAGTTTTTTTAGTGTCAGTAGTAAAAATAAGTTTTAGTCAGACATAATTTTTTTTTTAATTATTCGAGTTCAAAAATTAGTATTAAAAATTATTTTCAGTCAGAGAAGACGTTCAGAATTATTGTTTGCTGTCAGTAGTTTAAGAAAATTAAAGTAAGACAGATTTTGTTCAATTTTTATATTTTCGTGTCAGTAGTATTTGTTTTTATAACTTGGTACCAGTAGAAGAAATCAAGTTCTAGTCAGACAGACACATGTCCGTTACAATTAGTAACATTACTAATTTTATAAATTAATGTAGCAGTAGTATAAATCTTTTTAGTCAGACCATTGAAATTATATTTTTATCCTAGTAGTTCTAGTTAATATCAGTCAGACAGATTAGTTTGTACAACTTGTTGTCAGTAGTAAAAACTAGTTCTAGTCAGACGGACACGTTTTTAATTGTTATTAATTAATGTCGCAGTAGTAGAAATCTTTTTTAGTCAGACGATTGAAATTATTTTTTTATCTCAGTAGTTTTAGTCAATATAAGTCAGACAGATTTAATTAAGTTTGTACTACTTGTTTCCAGTAGTAGAAATCAAATTCTAGTCAGACTATATTTTTTCTTATAAAATAAAATAAAGAAGCATAATTTTTTAAAATAATAATTTCTTTTGTAAAAGTATTTGTAAATAAATATTTATCAAAATAAAAGCCTACCATCGATGTTTCATCGATAGAGTCGAGACCCATGACAGTAACGTGAAAATAAACAGCAGTTGCTTGTCCACCTTGTTTTGGTGGTCTCATCTTGTCATAAAGTTTTGGATCTTCTGGTAGCAGGTCATAAAACTCCAAACTTCTCCTAGTGAAGCAAATTTTTAATTATTCTTTTGATTGAATAAACAATTTAAAATAATAATAATAAAAAAATTATTAATGAATTAATAATAATTAATTTAAAAATATCGATTTTCTTATACGTAATAATTTATTTAAAGAAATTGATAACCAAAAACGATTTTTTTCTACAAAACTTTTCTTTCTAAATAATTATTTATTAAGAATTTTTTAATGAAAAAAAAATACAAAAATTCACATGCATATATTTGATAATTTTATGTGAGAACAAGAGAGAAGAAACGATGATTTTTGGAGAGACGTCATACTTGAAAACTTTGAATCGTTCATTGTGACAAAACTTATTTCACTTTCTTCAATCAAGGTCTGTTCTTTTCTCATTCAATTCGAGTGTAAAGTAGAGCTTAGATTTAAGTTTTTGTCCTTGGCTCATGATTTCTCACCAATGTCAGTTGCAAATCAAGTCCAATTCGTATTTTATGGCAATGAAATAAAAAGAAAGTGAAATAATTACTCTACACATGAATAGTCGCGAAACAGCGAGGCGAAATTAAAATATAAAAATTATACTTTGTTAACAAATTATCACTCTTGATTAAATAATAAAAAGAAACGGATAATTAATTATTAAAAAAAATTAATAATTTTTTTTATAAATAAATACATTTAATAATAATTTTGAATTATTAATTAATATTAATATTAGTTTGTAGTAGAATTAAAATACAAAATTATGTTTTTTTAAGCTACCCAAAATAATGAATTTATTTTAATAATAAGTTAATGTCAATTAATTATTTTTACTATTTCTATTTTTAGTATTTTTATTATTACCTACTTTTTTATTATTTTTACTTTTTTTATTTTTACACGGAAAAAAATTTACATCGAACAGGTACAAATGCTTTTCTATTTAAAGAGAATAAAATAAAAAAAAAATAAATTACTTCAGCTTTAAATATACGATTCTATAAAGTTTCTTTTTTTTTAAACAAAGAAAAAAAAGAAAATGACGAGAAAAATATTGATTATTAAAAGAAAGTTCATAATTTGCACTTTTTTATAACCTGGCAGCACTTGATCTCATTCGTCACCTAATTCCTCACATTCAATATATTCACTAATTAAAATAAAAATTCATTAGTACATTCTTCATTTTTTCATTAAGAAAAAAAAAGTTAGTACATTTTGCTACATTTTGCTCAACAAAAAGTTTTAATTAAAAATTTAAAAACAAAAATAATAATATCTATAAATCTTTAATTATTTACATTTAGTAAATTAATTTTTAATGCGAAAATCATTCTTTTCCACTAAATAAAAGTAAGAAGATTTTTAATTTTTTTCTTTCGAATTAAATTTAATTGACTTGATTAATAATTTAGTTAATCTATCGATTAGTCGGCAATTAATTTATTATATGCTAATAATTTGATTTTCTATATTTATTATTTAATTAAATAAACAATTTATTTTCTCTATTTTCCCGTATTTAATTACTTCCAAATAAATACTTAAACTTAAGTTATATAATCAAAAATAAATAATTTTTCCTAGTCCGTATAATTACATAACGTTTCTATTAAATTTACGTCGCACAATTTTCCGTTTTTTTGAATTAATTAATTTATACTTAATTTTCGAATTTATTGAATTAATTTATTAGGTATTAATTTAAAAAAGGTTTATATTAAATTTACGTTATAATTTCCCGTTTTTTAATCAAATTATTATGACTAATAAATTGAATTAATTTATAAATAAAATTTAATTCTCATGATTTAATTAATAATAATTAGATTATTGATTGATGGTAATTTTTTTGCGATTATATTTTTTTAATTATCAATTATCTTTAATAAGTTTTAAGTAAATAATTAAATTATTTTTCATAGTCGACGTATTAAATATCACGTTTGTGCTAAATTAAGGAAACAATATTTTTGTTTGTTCTTAAAATTATTAGATAAATTTTATTCCTTTCTCGTTGATTGGATTTTTGTATTCAATTCTTTATGGTAAAAATTTTTTGTAACTATTTCTTGTAAGTAAAAAAATTAAACTCGTGAATAAAATTCTCTTCAAAGAATAATTAAAAGTAGAAAAGGAAGAGAAAAGGTAAGAAAATAAAGAGTAGAAAAGGAAAAGAACGGGAGACAAAATAAAAAGTAGAAAAAGGACAGAAAGAGGTTGAAAATAAAAAGTAGAAAAAGGACAGAAAGAGGTAGAAAATAAAAAGTAGAAAAAGGACAGAAAGAGGTCGAATATAAAAAAATAGAAAAAGAACAGAAAGAGGTAGAAAATAAAAAGTAGAAAAAGGACAGAAAGAGGTAGAAAATAAAAAGTAGAAAAAAGACAGAAAGAGGTCGAATATAAAAAAATAGAAAAAGGACAGAAAGAGGTAGAAAATAAAAAGTAGAAAAAGGACAGAAAGAGGTAGAAAATAAAAAGTAGAAAAAGGACAGAAAGAGGTCGAATATAAAAAAATAGAAAAAGAACAGAAAGAGGTAGAAAATAAAAAGTAGAAAAAGGACAGAAAGATGTAAAATATAAAAAAATAGAAAAAGGAGAGAAAGGGTTTGAAAATAGAAAGTAGAAAAGGAAGAGAAAGAGTGAAAAAAAACTATTCGACGTTCTCAAAAAAAAGAAGAAAAGAAAGAGACTCACTGAGCATCCGTGGTAGTAACAAGAAGGAGAAGAAGTATTGAAGAAACGGAAACGGAAGGCATGCCTCCTTGTTCCCGTGACTCCTCCATTGTTAATTTTCCCTTCAACGCATTTTCTACACTGATATAACCGGAAACAAAAAGTTCTTTTCCGGTACCAGTTACAAGGCACCAGGATTCCCTTTAAATCTCGAGGAAACAGTTTCGAGCACCAGTTTTTAAGCAAAAAAAAAACAAAAAAATCCCTCAATGACGAAGACCGACCGACTGACTGACTTACTGACTAACTGACACTTTCTTGCTGTGATTTTGTGCTGTACGTGCAGAATCGGTTCGAGTGAGAAGTATCTCTCAGGGGGGGTGAGGGTGTGAGAGGCAAGAGGGAGATTGATAGAGGTGGAAGAGTAAAGTGTAAGAGAAAGAGGGATCGTGTAGGTATGTACTCCCCCCACTACCGAAAATAAGAAAAAGGGGGATGTAACCAGTGTGACGTGATCGGTACATTTTCGAGGGGGGAAATGTGGTGGAAGGGTTTTAAGTACAATTGTATATAGGTCTATATGAATTTTCGTATAGATGTGAATTCTTTACTGGCTATTTTATAATCCTTTGGGATTTCGTCACTGTCCTCTTAAAATCATCAACCCCCTGTGTCTTTGTTCCTCCCTTCTTCCCTTTTTTTTCTCTTTCTTCCCTCTTTTTCCTTTTCTTTCTCTCTTTCTTCCCCCTTTCTTCTTTTTCTCTTTCTTTCTCACTTTCTTCCCTCTTTTTTTCCCTCCTTCTTCCCCCTTCCTTCTTTCTCTCTCCTATTTTCTCTCTTTCTCCCCCCTCACCCCTTCACGCTACAATTTATATTTTTGACACTTTCGGGCAAACTTCACACATTTATATTTAGAACTAAATTCACCCCAATGCGGTATCTTGAGACATTGCGCGTTTTTTTTGGTACTCTTTAGAATGTCAATTTTTTCTTTCTCGAAAGATTTTTTTCTCTTACGAAGAGAGAGAGGAGAGTAAATCGTGTTTGCACTGGCGTTGATGTTACTCCATTATAAGAGGCGATTTTCTTTGAAAAAAAATTGTAGCACAGTAGTAAAGGTCAATTTTAGTCAGACAGAATTTTGCTAAATCTTTAGAATTCTTCAGTCAGTAGTAAAAATCAGTTTGAGTCGGACAATTTTTTTTTTTTTTTTTGAATCATTGTAAAATTTTTTTGACAGTGGTACAAATACGTTTGAGTGTTGACAGTGGTTGACAAAATTTCTCTGAAACGTTAAAAATTTTCTAAATATTAAAAAAAATGAAAGAAAGTTTAAATCACACATAATTGGAAGTTTTTGACAAATTATCAATATTTTTACAAAACTCAGTAGTAAAAATCAATTTTAGTCAGACAGACAAAATTTTCCTGAATCATTAGTATTTTTATGCCAGCAGTAAAAAAAAATGTTTAAATCAGACGAAATTGGAAATTTTTGACAAATTGTCAGTATTTTTGCAAAACTCAGTAGTAAAAGTCAATTTTAGTTAGACAGAGTATTTAAAATTTTAATTTAATTTTGGAATCAGTAAAAATCAGTTTGATTAGAGCAACAATTTACCGAAATTATATAAAATTTTCAGTTATCAGTATCGTATAAGTATAAGTTTGAATGATCCTAAAGTTCTGAACGTTCAAATGAACGAAATTTATTTATTTTCTTCTTTAATTTGAATATTTATTACAATAATTTTTGTCGATATAAAATAAATGAATTATAAAGTTTCTAAGTGTAAAATTTAAGTTTTTAATTTTTATTGCAAACAATAAATTATAAAAACATTTCTAATAAAAAGTGTTTCATTCATTTGAACGTTCAAAACTTGTGGATCATAAGTTTGAGTCAGACAAAGTTTTGCTGAATCTTCGCTATTTTTCTTTCAGTATTTAAAAAAAAAAGTTTAAATCCGATAGAATTAACATTTCCTGACAAATTTTCAGTATTTTTTAGAAAAATGAGTAGTAGTGGACAATTTTAGTCAGACACACTATCAGTAGTGAAAATCAATTTTAATTCAGACAACAATTTTATGAATTTATGCAATTTTTTGTTGTCAGTAGTACAAATACGTATAAGTCGGACAACATTTTTCTGAAACGTTAGAATTTTTCTAAATATTTAAAAAAAATTTTAAAAATGATTAAATCAGACATAATTGAACATTTTTGACAAATTATCGGTGCCGTGAAGCTAGCGATACGCCATCCGCCAGAAGCCTGACAAATCCATAGGCGTCGCAACTAAATAATACGAAAAACTCCAAAGGTTAATAAACAATTGATTTTGTTGTTGTCTATTGTTTATTATATGTTTATTTACATAAAATTACTTTTGTGTATTAATTTTGGAAAAATTACTAGTCAAAATACTCCATCCGCCAATTAGCAGACAATCGAATTTTCCAGTTTTCGAAGCTAAGAGCTTTAAAAATTTCAATTGTAAATAAACAATTTATTTTGTTGTTGTCTATTGTTCACTATATGTTTATTAACAAGAAATTACTTTTGTAAATTAATTTTGGCAAAATTACTAGTCAAAATACTCCATCCGCAGATTAGCAGACAATCGAATTTTCGAGTTTTGCGAAGCTAAGCGCTGTTAAAAAATTTATTTGTTAATAAACAATTATTTTTTATGTTAAATTATGTTCGTAGAATATTTGTACTCAAGTCTATAGTGAAAGAAATTATCGCGAGAAAGAAAGAATGAAGAATTGATCATTCCGTATTATTTAGTTGCGACGCCTATGGATTTGTGAGGCGTCTGGCGGATGGCGGGTCGGTAGCTGCACCTAAATTATCACTATTTTGACAAAATTCAGTAGTAAATATCAATTTTAGTCAGACAGGCTAATCAAATTTTTATTTTTATTTTTGTATAAGCAAACTAAAAGTTTGTTAAATTGAAAAAAAAATTTCAATTTAGTAAAATTTTCTTTTCTCAGTAGTATAAATACATTTTGAGGCAGACAAAGTTTTCACGAATTCTTAATATTTTTCTTTCAGTAGTAGAAAATCTTTTACGTCGGACAGGAAGGGCAATTTTTTACAAATTGACTGTATTTAAAAAAAAAAAAAAAAATCAGTAGTAAAAGTCGATTTTAGTCGGACAGAGTAGTTATAATTTTATTTCAATTTTGGTAACAGTGGTAAAAATCAATTTATTTCGGGCAACAATTTTCTGAATTGGAGAAACTTTTTGTTTTCAGTAGTACAAAAACTTTTGAGTCAGACAAAACATTTCTGAATCGTTAGAATTTTGTTGTCAGTAGTAAAAATCACTTTAAGCCCAATAAAATATTTTTTAACCGATGGAATTTTATCAGTGTTGAAAATAAGTTTATGTCAGACATAATTGTCAATTTTTGAGAAATTGATATTTTAGTAGAATAATTCATTTTTAGTGCGAGACTTTAGAATTACAAAAATAATAGTTTAGTACCTAGTTAAGGTCAATTTTAGTCAGACAATGTTATTCTTTAAAGTCCGAATGCTTTTAAGTCCGAATCATTTTGATTCGGGCAGAATTTACCGAAGTGATAGAACTATTGTCGTGAATAATAAAAAAACATTTGAATCAGTTAAAATTTCTCTGAATCGTTAGTATTTTTTTGTCACTAGTATAGGTCAATTTCAATCTAAAAAACAATTTATAAATTAGTAATAGAATTAATTATAGTCAGAAGAAATTTTTCATTTATTTTTTCTAATGTTTTCATATCAGTAGTAAAAACTAGTTTTAGTCAGACGATTTAAATCAATTTTTAAATTTTAGTCCCAGTAGTTTAAGTCAATTTGAGTCAGACATAGTTTATTCAATTTTTTACATTTTCGTGTAACATTATTAATTGTTATGAATTAGTGTGGCAGTAGTATAAAATATAAATCTTTATAGTCAGACGATTAAAATTTATTTTTTATTTCAGTAGTTTGAGTCAATATGAGACAAACAAATAAAGTGAAGTTTATATGACTTTTTGTCAGTAGTAGAAAACAGTTTTAGTCAGACGATTTTAAATTGTTTTTTTTATCCAGTAGTTTTAGTCAATATTACTCAGACAGATTTAATTAAGTTTGTAATACTTGTTATTAGTAGTAGAAAACAGTTTTAGTCAGACGGACACGTTTTTAGTTATTATTAATATCGCAGTAGTATAAATCTTGTTTAGTCAGACGATTGTAATTACTTTTTTATTCCAGTAGTTTAAGTCAATATTAGTCAGACAGAATTTGTAAAGTTTCTACAACTTGTTGTCAGTAGAAAAAACTAGTTTTAGTCAGACTATTATTATCTTTAATCCATCGAGAAATTATTTTATTTTAAAACAAAAGAGTTACCTGACAATTAAAAAGCATTTTTAGGGCCTACAATGTCGATTATCGTTTTAGAAAAAAAAGACGCAAGCGGTCGATTCTACTCAAAACAGATAGTGAAGTATCAAAGAGAAAAAGGGAAGATGATGATGACCAAAAGAGTCTGTCACAGAAGACTTTCATCCCTTCTTCTTCGTCTTCTTTTTCTTTTTCCCTTTTTGTGTTTGAAAAGCCGGTGAAACAACGACAGGGGTCATATGTCTAACTAGCGCGCGGTATTTTTGAAGACTATATAAAAGAGAAAAGAAGCGAATAGACCAGATTATCTTTTTCTCTCACTCTCTCTCTCTCTCTCTCTTCTTTTCGGTGAATACCTCGCGCTCGATGTATCGATTTATAAAAAATTGTGCTGCGATAATAGAAAGCCGTTGTGTCGTGCTGCACTCACTCGAATGGCCACTCTTCAAGGAAGTGCCAGGAGATGGAGTTTTAAGAGGAAGAACGAGATTTAAGTCAAACAAAGCGCACGATCGAGATTTATCATCGACTCTCAAAGGGTTACTAACTTTGCAAAAATCAGTCATTACAAAACAAATTTATTTTTTTTTTTAAAAATAAGACAATTTATTTTTATTTGACAGCGGAGTCAGAACAATTTAAAATAAATAGAAAACAGCAATTAACAGTCTTTTTTTTTGCTCAACGTTTTTATATTTAAAATTAAAGCTTGAATGTTATGAAAATCTTTAATTTTCTATTATTCAGGGTGTCTACAATTTTCGATCAACAAAATTCACGGTTATTTTCCGGTTCTTTCCCGGCTTTTTTTCTCATCAAATTAAAAATTTATTTGATTTCGAACAAAAATAAATAAATTTTTTGAAAATAATGTTTTTTTTAATAATTTTAATTAAAAATTTGGAAAATAATTTAAATAAACAAAGAATTTTTTAAAATATTCTTGTCTGTTCATAATTATAATTTAAAATTTGATTAATTTAATTTTATTAAAATGTATTTATACTAATTGAATTTATGCAAAGAACTTTTTTACTATTTATAAAAGTAATTGAATCCTTCAAAAGATGGTTATTATTTATGAAAATAATTAAATGTTTGCGTCAAATTTTATTAAAATTTTTGAAAATAATTGAATTGCGGAGAACAATTAAATTTTTTATAAAGATAATTGAAATTTTGAGGAGAATTAAAAAAAAATCTGTGTGAAGAATTTTATTACTTTTGAAAATAATTGAATTGTTTTTTAGAATTTTATGGAAATTTATGAAAATAATCGAATTCTTGTGAAGAATTTTTTTTAAAAATAATATTCTAAAGAATTTAGTAAATCTGAAGAATTTTGCTATTTATGGAAATAATTGAATTCTTGAGAAGAATTTTTTTAC